AAGAATGATAAATCACCAAAGGTAATAAATTAAATCAGAAATTAAGGAATAACTAAATATAAATTATTAAAAACGCATGAAAAATAAACAAAGAATAATTAAAGGTAAATGTTTAGAAAATAACAGTAAAATAAAAAACGTGAGAATTATTAAATGTAAATTATTAAAAGTGATAAACTAAAATGAAAAAATAATTATTAGAAAGTAATTCAAAAATAATAATCTCCGAAATTAAAGAATAAGTATAAATTAATAAAGTAATAATAAAATAAAATTAAATGCCAGTTAAAAAGAAATGAAATAATTCTGAAATTAATTATACTTGAATATGAATTATAAGAATTAATAATTAAATGAAATGAATTATGAATAAGTATAAATTAAGAAACAGTCAAAATAAAGCAGAAATTAAAGAATAATTTCATGTAATTTTATAAACGCTATAATAAAATCACAAAAGAATGATGAATATTATTAAACAATAATGAAATAAAAAAATTCAAAGATAAAAATAAGGAATCAAAGAATAATTAAATGTATATTATTAAAAGTAATAATAAAATGAATGATAAATTAAGGAATAACTGAACAAAGTATTAAAAATTTAAGGGAATTTTACATTTTTAAATAAAAATCATAGATTGAAGCAGCAGATTTGATCAGCTGTGAGGAGGTCTCACTCTCATCCAAAACGACAAACATGAGAATTTCCTGCTGAGTCAACATCTGACCGTGACCTCTGACCCCAAGACAGGAAGTGGAGAAGCTGCAGGAAAACTGAGCTTACGCCTCATTTCCTGTCCAGATGGAACTGGTTTTTATCTGTGTCTCTGTTTATCAGAGTTAAAGCAGCCCCAGATTTATCAGGCGACTTCACACCAAACTCCATCTAAAAATCCTGTAATTTTACCGTAGCTGCCCTCAGTGACATGTAAAACATCAACCAGATAATGTATTTGAAGTTATTAATAATTAATAAGGGCTTCTGCTGAATTTGGCGCACAAAAATATGTCAATGTTGCTAAATATTTTGTTTAAATTCCAATATCTCACAGTGTTGTTACAGACGCACTACACACCAAACTCCATTTAAAAAACAGCTTGTTTTACATTCCTCACTCTCAGTGGCTTTCGCACAGTGTCACGGGATGTTTGAAGAGTTACTGCTTGTCATGGAAACACTCGGGTAGATTCTGCTGGGACGTATTGATCATTTTTATTGATTGTTAAAAGTTCCACAGTGGTTCAGTATCACCTGTCATAGTAGAGGAACATTTTTTTAATGGAGTTTGGTGTGGTCAGACCACAGTCTTGTAAATACAGAAATGAACCTGCTTTACTGTGAACAGCTGTTCACATATACCTGAACAGTGCTGTCGTCAGCTGGAGGGAAATAACAGGATGAGACGAGGTTCTCTGCTCTGCTGATGTTCACCTGTGTGACTCAGCACCTCCAGGTGTGTCTCTGCTGCTCTGCTGCCACCTGCTGCCACATACCAGTAACAGCACTATAGTTGAAGTGATATAAGTAGTGTTAGCATCAGTAGCATAGCAGCAGTGCTATAGTTGAAGTGATATAGGTAGCGTTAGCATCAGTAGCATAGTAGCAGTACTACAGTACTGTAATAGTAGTAGTACTTGTAGTAACAATATTACAGTTACAGTAGTAGTACCTACAGTAGTAACAGTTGTAGTTTCTTCAGCTGTACAGAGGAATAAAGTTTGAACGATTGTGACTCCATCTTGTGGCACAAAGTCAGTACTGCAGAAAACTCAGACCTCTCTTTAAAGATTAAGATATTTATTTCAGAATTAAATAGCTTATCAGTGCACGTCATGCACACACTTACTGTTTTACAGTAAAACAAAAGTCAAAATAGCTTCAGACCGACATGAAAAGGACAAAGACATTGTTTAGTGCAAATATGACCCACATTTGGTCAGATTAAAAACTGCCCTTATATTAAAAACACATCCTCAATATAAAAACAGTACCTGTTCATAATTAACTTATTTGGGTAGAAAATAATGAAAGAGCGGGAACCCTCTTTAGTTGCCTCACCATATGGCACATCATCACATGCTATTTATCTGGCAAATTAATGGAATCTTATGACAAATACAGGATGAATACATAACCTCCATACTTCCATTTTTATTCCCGTTATTCTGCTGGACTCATCAGACTTCCAGAACAACATTCCCTTAATGCGACTGGGCTGGACTCTACAGCCCGTACAGTACTATGACCTCAGCAGGCCGATGGTCACATGACCAATGGCTCTGATTAGGGGATACCAGGGGAAGGTGCGACACGTTTTGTGGTTTTTACAGTAAATCAGAAACTTCAATGAGTTTTAATACAGTTCCTCCACTGTGACAACCGTCCCTGAAACAGTCAGGGACTGTTGTCGAGGACGGTTGTCACAGTCAGGGACGGTTGTTACAGTCAGGGATGGTTGTCACAGTCAGGGATGGTTGTTACAGTCAGGGACGGTTGTCACAGTCAGGGACGGTCGTCACAGTCAGGGACGGTCGTCACAGTCAGGGACGGTTGTTACAGTCAGGTACCGTTGTTACAGTCAGGGACGACTGTCACAGTCAGGGACGGTTGTTACAGTCAGGGATGGTTGTCACAGTCAGGGACGGTTGTTACAGTCAGGTACCGTTGTTACAGTCAGGGACGATTGTCACAGTCAGGGACGGTTGTTACAGTCAGGGATGGTTGTTACAGTCAGGGACGGTCATCACAATCAGGGACGGTTGTCACAGTCAGGGACGGTTGTTACAGTCAGGGATGGTTGTTACAGTCAGGGACGGTTGTTACAGTCAGGGACGGTTGTCACAGTCAGGGACGGTCGTCACAGTCAGGGACGGTCGTCACAGTCAGGGACGGTTGTTACAGTCAGGTACCGTTGTTACAGTCAGGGACGACTGTCACAGTCAGGGACGGTTGTTACAGTCAGGGATGGTTGTCACAGTCAGGGACGGTTGTTACAGTCAGGTACCGTTGTTACAGTCAGGGACGATTGTCACAGTCAGGGACGGTTGTTACAGTCAGGGATGGTTGTTACAGTCAGGGACGGTCATCACAATCAGGGACGGTTGTCACAGTCAGGGACGGTTGTTACAGTCAGGGATGGTTGTTACAGTCAGGGACGGTTGTCACAGTCAGGGACGGTTGTCACAGTCAGGGACGGTTGTTACAGTCAGGGACGGTTGTTACAGTCAGGGACGGTTGTTACAGTCAGGGACGGTTGTTACAGTCAGGGACGGTTGTTACAGTCAGGGACGGTTGTTACAGTCAGGGACGGTTGTTACAGTCAGGGACGGTTGTTACAGTCAGGGACGGTTGTTACAGTCAGGGACGGTTGTTACAGTCAGGGACGGTTGTTACAGTCAGGGACGGTTGTTACAGTCAGGGACGGTTGTTACAGTCAGGGACGGTTGTTACAGTCAGGGACGGTTGTTACAGTCAGGGACGGTTGTTACAGTCAGGGACGGTTGTTACAGTCAGGGACGGTTGTCACAGTCAGGGACGGTTGTCACAGTCAGGGACGGTTGTTACAGTCAGGGACGGTTGTTACAGTCAGGGACGGTTGTTACAGTCAGGGACGGTTGTTACAGTCAGGGACGGTTGTTACAGTCAGGGACGGTTGTCACAGTCAGGGACGGTTGTCACAGTCAGGGACGGTTGTCACAGTCAGGGACGGTTGTTACAGTCAGGGACGGTTGTTACAGTCAGGGACGGTTGTTACAGTCAGGGACGGTTGTTACAGTCAGGGACGGTTGTTACAGTCAGGGACGGTTGTTACAGTCAGGGACGGTTGTTACAGTCAGGGACGGTTGTCACAGTCAGGGACGGTTGTCACAGTCAGGGACGGTTGTCACAGTCAGGGACGGTTGTTACAGTCAGGGACGGTTGTTACAGTCAGGGACGGTTGTTACAGTCAGGGACGGTTGTTACAGTCAGGGACGGTTGTTACAGTCAGGGACGGTTGTCACAGTCAGGGACGGTTGTCACAGTCAGGGACGGTTGTCACAGTCAGGGACGGTTGTTACAGTCAGGGACGGTTGTTACAGTCAGGGACGGTTGTTACAGTCAGGGACGGTTGTTACAGTCAGGGACGGTTGTTACAGTCAGGGACGGTTGTCACAGTCAGGGACGGTTGTCACAGTCAGGGACGGTTGTCACAGTCAGGGACGGTTGTTACAGTCAGGGACGGTTGTTACAGTCAGGGACGGTTGTTACAGTCAGGGACGGTTGTCACAGTCAGGGACGGTTGTTACAGTCAGGGACGGTTGTTACAGTCAGGGACGGTTGTTACAGTCAGGGACGGTTGTTACAGTCAGGGACGGTTGTTACAGTCAGGGACGGTTGTTACAGTCAGGGACGGTTGTCACAGTCAGGGACGGTTGTCACAGTCAGGGACGGTTGTTACAGTCAGGGACGGTTGTCACAGTCAGGGACGGTTGTCACAGTCAGGGACGGTTGTCACAGTCAGGGACGGTTGTCACAGTCAGGGACGGTTGTTACAGTCAGGGACCGTTGTTACAGTCAGGGACGATTGTCACAGTCAGGGACGGTTGTTACAGTCAGGGATGGTTGTTACAGTCAGGGACGGTCATCACAATCAGGGACGGTTGTCACAGTCAGGGACGGTTGTTACAGTCAGGGATGGTTGTTACAGTCAGGGATGGTTGTTACAGTCAGGGAAGGTCGTCACAATCAGGGACGGTTGTCACAGTCAGGGACGGTTGTTACAGTCAGGGATGGTTGTTACAGTAAGGGACGGTCGTCACAATCAGGGACGGTTGTCACAGTCAGGGACGGTTGTTACAGTCAGGGACCGTTGTTACAGTCAGGGACGATTGTTACAGTCAGGGATGGTTGTTACAGTCAGGGACGATTGTTACAGTCAGGGATGGTTGTTACAGTCAGGGACGGTTGTCACAGTCAGGGATGGTTGTCACAGTCAGGGACGGTTGTTACAGTCAGGTACCGTTGTTACAGTCAGGGACGATTGTTACAGTCAGGGATGGTTGTTACAGTCAGGGACGATTGTTACAGTCAGGGATGGTTGTTACAGTCAGGGACGGTTGTCACAGTTGGGGATGGTTGTCACAGTCAGGGACGGTTGTCACAGTCGGGTACCGTTGTCACAGTCGGGGATGGTTGTCACAGTCGGGGATGGTTGTTACAGTCAGGGGCGGTTGTCACAGTCAGGGACGGTTGTCACAGTCGGGTACCGTTGTTACAGTGGGGGATGGTTGTTACAGTCAGGGATGGTTGTTACAGTCAGGGACGGTTGTCACAGTCAGGTACCGTTGTCACAGTCGGGGATGGTTGTTACAGTCAGGGACGGTTGTCACAGTCAGGGACGGTTGTCACAGTCAGGTACCGTTGTCACAGTCAGGTACCATTGTTACAGTCGGGGATGGTTGTCACAGTCAGGGATGGTTGTCACAGTCAGGGACGGTTGTCACAGTCAGGTACCGTTGTCACAGTCAGGGATGGTTGTTACAGTCAGGGACGGTTGTCACAGTCAGGGACGGTTGTCACAGTCAGGTACCGTTGTCACAGTCAGGGACGGTTGTTACAGTCAGGGACGGTTGTCACAGTCAGGGACGGTTGTCACAGTCAGGTACCGTTGTCACAGTCAGGTACCATTGTTACAGTCGGGGATGGTTGTCACAGTCAGGGATGGTTGTCACAGTCAGGGACGGTTGTCACAGTCAGGAATGGTCACAGTCGGGGATGGTTGTTACAGTCGGGGATGGTTGTCACAGTCGGGGATGGTTGTTACAGTCAGGGATGGTTGTTACAGTCAGGGACGGTTGTTACAGTCAGGGACGGTTGTCACAGTCAGGGACGGCTGTCACAGTCAGGTACCGTTGTTACAGTCGGGGATGGTTGTCACAGTCAGGGACGGCTGTCACAGTCAGGTACCGTTGTTACAGTCAGGGACGGCTGTCACAGTCAGGTACCGTTGTTACAGTCGGGGATGGTTGTCACAGTCAGGGATGGTTGTCACAGTCAGGGACGGTTGTCACAGTCAGGTACCGTTGTCACAGTCAGGGATGGTTGTCACAGTCAAGGGCTGCGTTTCCCAGTTCAGAGCGATCTTAGGACTTACAGCACAGTTAAGAATGTCTTTGGTAAGAAGGGTCGCTAAGATACGAGTGTTTTCCAGATGCCTTCTTAATGCCCTTCTTAGGATCGCTCTTAACAGGAGCTGACCACTACCACGGTGCTGAAACTAAATCAATCGATGTCAGGCACATCGATCACCCACCACTTCATCAGCGCATAAGTCACACAAAGCGCTGCTACCTAACGCACTAATTCCCTGCTAGATGTCCTGGGGGACGAGGGCCTCTGGTCCCACAGTGACACGGGTGAGGATGAGCCATCTGGGAGGGGGGCCAGAGCAGCTCAACCAACCTCCCTGCCCCTCAGCATCAGCCTGCCCGACAAAGACGTCCTCTGCACTCTCTCAAGCTCAAGGCCTGTCCCCGTGCGCCAAACCCCACCAGCAAGGCCAGGCGTCCACATGTGGGGTGGCCTCACGTGACGGCCCTCTATTATCACCTGCACCTGCAGCGAGACACTCGTGGGTGTAATGTGCGCCTCAAGCATGACGCACATGCCTCTTCCAGCCTGATGTGCACAACACATACAAGAACACACGTGTTATTCCTCATACTTATTTTTCTTCCGCCAGATTTCGGTGCGTAACTTGTGCCACAGCTCTGAGTGCACACAGGGTCTTCATAAAACATAGATTCAAGATTCAATATGCACAGTAAGGACACGCGTTTCCCTGCAGAATGACATTCGTTCTTTTCTGTCACCAATTAATGCTAAACTATATAAATCTGAAGTATGAAATAGATCAAAATATATACGGTGCGCACTGTTTTAACGTCTCCTTGCTTAGTGTAATATCAATGTTCCTGCCGCGTCTGGATCTGTGAGCATTTGGTCGCTAAGAACACTGTTAAGAGTGGGTCAGCTCGATCTTAGTGAAAGATCTCTTTACTTCCTGTCAGCTGCTGCAATAACAAACCAACATTCATTCATTATTCGTAACCACGTACCCTCTTCAGACCCTAACCCAGCTGCATTTACAAATATCCCAAACAGGAAATTCACCCGGACCGTTTAAATGTTTAAAGTTTAAACCTTCTATAAATAATGTGTGTGTAAGCTTAAACGTTTTCTGCAACAAAAAAGTAAAAAACTAGAAAACAAGCTTCACAGGTCATAAAAAAGTTTCTCTGTGTTCAAGTACTTTAAGTACAAAAATAATAAAAACATGTTTGCATAGATCTGTACGAGGCGAACAATCAAGGCTATGTTTCCTTCATGTGTGAAACAAATATTAAAAAAAGCCACAAAGCCTTCGTACGTTACGCATTCAAACACAAAATGAAGAGCCCTGCGAGTGATGTCAGCAGCTCTCTGACCAATCAGCAGCTGAACTGCATCATTAAATGGTTTTTCACTGATTTACAACATTAAAACGTCTGTTCAGCGTTTTTACAGGTTTAAATCAGCTGGTCAGTTTGCTTTAGAGAGGAGGGACCTCTGAGGCTGATTCAGCTCGTGGCCAATGAATGAAGAACCAGACTGCGGCGCTCAGTCTGTGTGTGTAATGGTGTTAAAATGGCAGAGCGTGGTGTTCCTGGTGCTTTCAGCTGCGACCTTACAGTACATAGAACTCTTTTTTAACTAAACCATTGAGCGTGAGGTGTGACACGTGTCTGTCCTCAGTCTTGTTTTGGTCTGAAATGATGTGGGAAAAGATTTTCTGTCCATTTTAAACCCGTCCACGTCAGAGACAGAAGAAGAGGAGGCAGAGCCATGAGGAAGGGGTGTGGTGTTACTGTAGTACCTCCACCTGACGCTCCACATGTACCTGCAACAGGAACACACACAGGGCCACATGTCAGACCTGCTGCTGGCTGCTGTTTTTATAAACTGTCTCTGGGACAGCTACAAACCTGAGACGGAGAGCGCCACTCTCTGGTGGAAGTTCACCGATGGGATGTAACAGTCATACGGACAGCTGTCAGACTGCAAGACGTTCTTCATCACGATGGAGAAGTTCCCCTTCCTGCACAGCTGCGGGTTGCTCAACACTCGACCTCTGAACTTCACATGCTGGTTTGAGAGGTCGGGGACGCTGCTGTGGATGTCCAGCACGATGTTGTTGTCATTGTCGCTCCAGTAGACAGAGAATGTCTGTGGTAGAGAGTCGCTGTAGACGCACGGCAGCAGGACGTCTCCTCCGACACAACCTTCGACCTTCAGGCGGCAGCTCACTGTGAGACGACACAAATGTTACCTCCAACACTTTGACACACAACAAACAGTTTCCAGCAGCGCCTGCACCGCTTCGCCCGGTTGTTTTTAACGACACCACAACGTTTACAGCGCAGATGTTTTCAGCCACGTCTGGACCACCTAACCTGAGCGTTGTATAGTGCCATACTGCGGCATTTCCAGTGGCATCTGCGCCACAAAATTAGATTGTTTTTAAGCCACACACCGCAGTTTTTCCAGCGGTGTTTGTGCCAACAAACCTGGATGTTTGTTGGCGACACATCGCAGCCTTTCCAGTAGTGTCTGCACCACCAGTCCAGGGTGGTTTTTAGCAACACACCACAGCATTTCCAGCGGCGTCTGTGCCACCAAACCTGGGTGTTTTTTAGCAGCCTATTGCAGTATTTCCAGCGGAATTTGCGCTCCAATGCTAACTGACACACAGACACAAGTACACACTGCTACCGCAGGAACTTCGGGGTAATTTTACGGGGTCAGGGCCGTTGGTGCGTGTCTCCACCGCAGGAACCACCCCCGAAGGACAGAGTTCAGGAACTTTTACAGGGGCTAAACAAGTCCCTGCCTCGGGGTAGGTACTCAGAACGGCCCTGAGAAACTCCTGGCTGGGGCTTGGGGATTACTTGGTGCTGATTGGATATACTCAAGGAGGGATGTGACGACAACAGAAACAACAAAAATAGCCGGCATTCTTAAAACTCAGCAGACGAGGAGTTGCATTTTTAAAAGGAGTCGTAAGAAGAAAAGCAAGAAATGGAAGACAAATTGTTCGTTGTTTCTTTGCCGCATCGCCCTGGTCAAAATGGTTGCGCAACGATTACGTCACATCCAGAGCCCGGTAACTTTACAGGAACCTTCCTGCTACTCTGCCCTCTCAGTGGAGACACGGCAGTTGAGAGAGCCGAGCGAGAGGACGTTCCTGTAAAGTACAGATAGTACCAGGAACTTCTTCAGTGGAGACGGGCCTACTACTGTCGAGATGTTCCACTCAGGAGCAGCTGCTAAACTCCAGCTGGTGTCTGAGCACAGTTTGTCATGTTGAATATTACATACCCTCTCTCTCACAGGCAAATTACATTTTTAACCTGATGTTTTTCTGTCATGTAAAACACAGAAAACGTCGGTTATGTTTATTCAGATGAACTCACCTGTGTCAGATCTGTACACCAGGACTGCCCAGAGCAGAAACTGTAAACTGTGGAGACACAAACACATCCACTCATCATTACAAACATGACAGACGTCCTTTAATATTAAATTAAATCAATAAAGCTTTTCACTGGCTCTGCACTAACTCTCATATATCTTTTAGATATGTGATTAGATGTTTGAGTATATTATTTGACTCTACAGCGAGCAGGTTCCCTACACTTGAACATATCTTTGTCTTGTCTGCTGCTGTTATCAGTGCCCTCTTTCCTCCTCATACGCTCTACACAACATGCTGGACAGACTCAGACTGACCACAGTCATTACATTTGCCATCAGGGTGTTTACCTATTTCATGTAGTGTATTATTCAGTCCTGTGTGCCTTATCCTAAGTCGTGTGATGACTGCCTCTCCCCTCCGGCTCCTGCCCATCCTTCTTCCCAACCCAACCTGTTTCTGTATATTATAGAAGTGTCTTCCCGTGTCTTGGATGTCCCAGTGTTCTTGCCACACTTTCCCCGCATGTCTCTTAATCACTGATTTACATTAAATCTCCTTAAAGAAGATCCTCGTCCCGCTAGCTAACTAAGCTAACTGCTACAACATGCTAACTGCTAGCTTACCTGACAAACGTCTTTACATGGACATGCACTGACCTCATTGGACATGTCCTCTGCAGTCTGTAACGGGTAGAATTTGTTTCTAAACTCATCGTTCACTCCTCTGAAGTGTCCTCTGGGCTCAGACACAGCTCAGGCTGGGAGCAGCCGCCTTCTGCGTGTGTACAAGTCTCGCGAGAGTTCGTGCAAGAGTTCACCTTTTTTTTTTTTATTCTTTATTGAAACCAAGCTCCATTAACACTGGCTGTAACCAAGCAACACAAGCACAGAGCCATCGACACCTTTATATGATTAAAATGTCATTTGTTTTTATGAAGCATTAAACAGTGTGTCATGATTAACAATGACCCAGTACAGTCACCAACACTGAATATATATTTTGACTACAGTATATAATATAATATATGTATAGAGAACACATCGGCCGAGACTCACGTTAACTTCATTAACGAGATAATGCTAAGCTAATGTTAGCTTAACAGACAGGCTGAGTAATGTTTTTCATAAATTAACACAAATTTTAAAAGTTAGATTTTTGTAAATACAATAAATAATTACTGTGTGAAACTATGTGACAGTCAGGACCATGACCATCAGGACAATGATTGTCAAGACCATGACAGTCAGAACCATGAACGTCAGGACCATGAACGTCAGGACCATGACAGTCAGGACCCTGATTGTCAAGACCGTGACAGTCAGGACCCTGTCAGTCAGGACCATGAACATCAGGACCCTGAACGTCAGGACCGTGATTGTCAAACCATGAACGTCAGGACCCTGACAGTCAGGACCATGAACGTCAGGACCATGACTGTCAAGACCGTGACAGTCAGGACCCTGACAGTCAGAACCATGAACGTCAAGACCCTGAACGTCAGGACCCTGATTGTCAAACCATGAATGTCAGGACCCTGACAGTCAGGACCATGAACGTCAGGACCATGAACGTCAAGACCATGAACGTCAAGACCATGACCATCAGGACCATGACCATCAGGACCATGATCGTCAGGACCATGACTGTCAGGACCATGATCGTCAGGACCATGACTGTCAGGACCATGATCGTCAGGACCATGACTGTCAGGATCATGAACGTCAGGACCATGAACATCAGGACCATGCTGTCAGGACCATGACCATCAGGACCATGATCGTCAGGACCATGACTGTCAGGACCATGAACGTCAGGACCATGACCGTCAGGACCGTGACCGTCAGGACCCTGACCATCAAGACCATGAACGTCAGGACCATGACCGTCAGGACCATGAACATCAGGACCATGAACATCAGGACCATGAACATCAGGACCATGCTGTCAGGACCATGACCGTCAGGACCGTGACCGTCAGGACCCTGATCATCAAGACCATGAACGTCAGGACCATGACCGTCAGGACCATGAATGTCAGGACCATGATTGTCAAACCATGAACATCAGGACCATGACCGTCAGGACCATGATTGTCAAACCATGAACGTCAGGACCCTGACCGTCAGGACCATGACTGTCAGGACCATGAATGTCAGGACCATGACCATCAGGACCATGAACGTCAGGACCATAATTGTCAAGACCATGAACATCAGGACCATGAACGTCAGGACCATGATTGTCAAGACCATGACAGTCAGGACCATGATCATCAGGACCATGAACGTCAGGACCATGAACGTCAGGACCATGATTGTCAAGACCATGAACATCAGGACCATGAACGTCAGGACCATGATTGTCAAGACCATGAACGTCAGGACAATGATCATCAGGACCATGAACGTCAGGACCATAATTGTCAAGACCATGAACATCAGGACCATGAACGTCAGGACCATGATTGTCAAGACCATGACAGTCAGGACCATGAACGTCAGGACCATAATTGTCAAGACCATGACAGTCAGAACCATGATCATCAAGACCATGATCATCAGAACCATGATCGTCAAGACCATGATCATCAGGACCATGATTGCCAAGACCATGAATGTCAGGACCATGAACGTCAGGACCATGATTGTCAAGACCATGACAGTCAGAACCATGATCGTCAAGACCATGATCATCAGGACCATGATTGTCAAGACCATGACAGTCAGGACCATGATCGTCAGGACCATGAACGTCAGGACCATGATTTTCAAGACCATGATCGTCAGGACCATGAACGTCAGGACCATGATTTTCAAGACCATGATCGTCAGGACCATGATCGTCAGAACCATGATTGTCAAGACCATGACCATCAGGACCATGATCGTCAAGACCATGACCATCAAGACCATGAACGTCAGGACCATGGTTGTCAAGACCATGACCATCAGGACCTTCTTCTGTTCTTTACAACATGTCTTTCAGGAGCTTTCGAAGTTGTTCAGTCTTTTCAGGGTCAAAGATCAGAAACAGTTTTATTAACATTTAACATCAGTGAGGAGAACAGTGAATCATCTTCTGTGGACGATATTAAAATAAGACGTAGCTGTAGACCAGGTTCATTAACTGATCACGTAAAAACACTAAGATAACTGACTAAGATTCTGAGTTTAAACATCGTAGAAGAAGAAGATTCAGTTCCTCTTGTCAGCAGCGAGGAGGACGGCAGCGGCGCTCTCCTTCGCCTCCTGCAGCAACGCCGCCACTCTCTTCTGAGTCTGCAGCATAAAACAATGACTAATGATTAACAAGAAAACTTTATTTAAACAAACGTCACATACAGAGCAAGGAGACGCACTTACAGCCATCCTGAAGGTGTCGTCTGTCACGTCTTTAAGGTTGATGATGACGTTGTAATACGCTCCGAAAACCGCCGTCTCTAAAGCTTTAGCTGCCACCTGGAAACATGAACTTCAAATTAAAGGTCTCATTTAAAGTTTTATTTTGAAAAAACTGACATTAGCTGCCACTTGGAAACATGAACTTCAAAGTAAAAGTCTCATTTAAAGTTTTATTTAAAAAAAAAAACTGCCTCGAAAGCTTTGGCTGTCACCTGGAAACAGAACCTTCAAATAAAAGGTTTAATTTTTAAGTTTTATTTTGAAAAATAAAACGTTAACTGCCACCTGGAAACACAAAGTTCAAATTAAAGGTTTTATTTGTAGTTTTATTTTGAAATCTGCCACCTCGAAAGCTTTAGCTGCCACATGGAAACACAGTTTTAAAAGGTTTAAATTAAAGTTTTATTTTGAAAAAAAAGACATGAGCTGCCAACTGACAATAAAATCTTCAAAATAAAGGATTTATTTAAAGTTTTATTTTGAAAACTGACGTTGCTAAAGCTTTAGCTGCAACTTGAAAACATGAACGTAAAATCAAAGTTTTCATATAAAGTCTTAATGAAAAAAAATGTTGTTAGCTTAAAATAGGAACATAAAACTAAAGGTTTCATTTAAAGTTTTATTTTGAAGTTTCTTTGCTGCTGGTTGACCTGTAATTTCCTGTAAAGATGGCTGATCTGTGATCAGATGCGTCAGCTGTGTTTTTGTCACCTGAGCATCGGACTTGCAGGCGATGTTTCCATGGACGACCATTTCCTTCAGAGGAGACCAGAGGACGCTGATCCTGTCAGCCAGAGCCAAGGGCACGCTCACCGCTCGCTGCAGACCCTCCTGCATCGCAGCCTCTCTCCTGATTATTGATTAAAGATCATTGATTATTGGTTATAGATCATCGATCACAGTGTGAAGTGAAGTGAACATGATGAAACTACACACACACACACACACACACACACACACACACACACACACACACACATCACCTCACCTTTTTATTTCCTCTGCAGTGTTCTTCGGCATTTTCAGTGCCGCCTGAAACAAAATGAGACGCAGTTGAACAAAAATGTCCCCTGTCCTCTGAAGTGGACACTGAGCGTTCACACATCATGCAGTTACGACCATGTAGCTGTTGAAGGCTGATGAGTCGGCGTCCACCATGATCAGCAGGTCATTCATGGCGTGATGAAACGGCGTAATCAGCCTCCTCATCACGCCGTCCAGGTTCTCAAACTGCCTCTTCCCGTACGTCATCTGACCCACCATGGCGCCCAATGCCGCCCCCTGCAGGACACACACATTACCGTCATCACAGATGTTTGTATGAGGAGATGATGTCATACTGATGTTTGTTGTTACCATAGCAGCGATAGCGGCAGACACCGATCCTCCACCGGGAGCAGCCGTCCGAGCGCCAACACTCCGAACAAACTGCTGCACAGACAGAGACACCAGCTGGCTGTCCTCATGTGACCTCACCATGTACCTGCACAGGTAACACACACAGTCTAACTGCTAGCTAAGCTTAGTTTAGCATCAGGACTTGAAACAGAGGCTAAGAGCTAGCTGTGTCAGTGAGGTCACAGTACGACATGTGTAAACACTCGTGCTGTGTATCAGTACTCACTCTATGATTCTCTCCTCAGGGTTGAACGGACCGAGAGAGTCGAGGCCGAGTTTACTGATCACCTGACGACACAAAGAGACCTCGCGTCTTTATCACAGAATATGACATCATATGATATCTGCGACCGGTCACTGACCAGGCGGACTTTGTGCTCCTCTTCGACGATAAAGAGTCCGTCTCTGTGGATGAAAAAGTCAGCAGAGTCCAGCACGGCCTTCAGAGGGATCAAACCCACGATCTGAGATCCCACCACAGGCAGCTTCAGCTCCTGAACACCAATAACCAATAATCAATAATGAGATTATTAAAACGTTATGTTTCTGGTTGGTGAATGGAGGTTGACCTCTGACCTCAGCCTCCCTGCAGACCTCCTGGTGCACCCTGTGGAGGGGGGTCAGCTCGTAATCCAGGATGTTGGTGGACACCTGAGCAATGTTGGACTCGTCCAGGTACCAGCCCATCCCCTGCACCTTCTGCAGCAGCCCCGGCTGAAAGACACAGAGAGGTCACTAAAGGTCAGACAGAGGTCACTGAAGGTCACAAAGACTCCACCTGAACCCTGAAAAATATAGTTAACAATGAAAAAAAACCCTGGAAGATACAAGTTGAGGACTCAGAGTCCCAGCATGCACCTGGTCTTTCCCTCGGCCCTGCTCTCTGATGTCCAGAGCGATGCGGTGAGCCTGCTCCTTGGTGCTGATCAGGTTCACGTTGTAGGCGATGAGGAACTTACGAGCGCCGGTTACTGTCGCGCCCCACGACGGTACGAACATGGCGGGGCCAAAGTCAGGGGACCAATCAGGACGCTTCAGCTGGAGGACAGAAAATATTAAAAGACGTTACGTTTCAGACACTTTGATGAACTTTTATTTTGAAGGTATGACACAGGGAGACCTCGTGATGATCACCTTGTCAGGTAAAGCTTCATACTCTCCAGCTCGGACAGATGGAAGACTTCTCCTCGTTTCCTTTCGTGCTGCTTCTCCATAAAGATACACTGTGAGGACACAGAGGGAGGATTAGCTGCTGACGTGGCTCCATGGACCGAAGTTATTAATGTGGCGTCTCACCGGGGACGTGCAGCATCTCTGCCAGTCTCTGTCCAAAGGCGTTGGCGCACTGGACGCAGTCGTCCATGGAGACATTCTGGACGGGGATAAAGGGACAGACGTCCAGCGCTCCGGTCCGAGGATGCTCACCTGAACAGGTAACACACATGTCAGCTGTTTCCTGTTATGTTGTACTTCCTGTTGTGGTCATAGAGTTCTCGCGTACCTGAGTGTTTGCTCATGTCGATGAGGGTAAAGGCCTGCCGGGCGGCGTTCAGCGCGCCCTCCACCACAGCCGCAGGCGAGCCCACGAAGGTGTAGACGGTGCGGTTGGTGGAGGCACCAGGGTCGACATCCAGCAGACTGCAGCCCGGGGTGCCAGAGACGGCGGCGGCGATCGCATCAATCACCTGAGACACAAGAGTCATCATCTGTGTTAACCGTCTCAAACGCACCAGATATGTTACCATCACCAGAATCACCAGGTAACAAATGCATGTGTTGAGGTTTAAGCAACAAACCCACCTGGTTAAATTTAGGCAACAAACGCACAAGTTAGGTTTTAGGTAAACGCACAAGTTAGGTTTAGGCAACAAACGCACATAAGTTTAGGCAACAAATGCAAGTGGTTTGGTTTAGGCAACAAACGTATGTGGTTAGATTTAGGCAACAAACACACAAGTTAGATTTAGGCAACAAACGCATGAGTTAGGTTTTGGCAACAAACGCAAGTGGTTAGGTTTAGGCAACAAACGTATGTGGTTAGATTTAGGCAACAAACGCACAAGTTAGGTTTAGGCAACAAACACACATAAGTTTAGGCAACAAACGCAAGTGGTTGGGTTTAGGCAACAAACGTGTGTGGTTACATTTAGGCAACAAACGCACGAGTTAGGTTTTAGGTAACAATCGCACAAGTTAGGTTTAGGCAACAAACATGTGGTTAGATTTAGGCAACAAACGCACAAGTTAGGTTTAGGCAACAAACGCAAATGGTTGGGTTTAGGCAACAAACGTATGTGGTTGGGTTTAGGCAACAAACATGTGGTTAGATTTAGGCAACAAACGCACAAGTTAGGTTTAGGCAACAAACGCAAGTGGTTGGGTTTAGGCAACAAACGTATGTGGTTAAATTTAGGCAACAAACACACAAGTTAGGTTTAGACAACAAACGCACATGGTTAAATTTAGGCAACAAACGCACAAGTTAAGTTTGAGGTAAACACACAAGTTAGGTTTAGGCAACAAACGCACATAGTTTTTTGGCAACAAACGCACTAGTTAGGTTTTAGGCAACTAACGCACAGTTAGTTTTTTGGCAACAAACACACTAGTTAGGTTTTAAGCAACTAACGCACATAGTTTTTTGGCAACAAATGCACTAGTTAGGTTTTAGGCAACTAACGCACATAGTTAGTTTTTTGGCAACAAATGCACTAGTTAGGTTTTAGGCAACTAACGCAAATAGTTTTTTGGCAACAAACACACTAGTTAGGTTTTAGGCAACTAACGCACATAGTTAGTTTTTTGGCAACAAATACACTAGTTAGGTTTTAAGCAACAAACACACATTAAGTTTTAAGCGACAAATGCACATGGTTACACGGGAAGTGAACCGGCCTCTTGGGTAAACGGCCAGTGCTGTTGGACCCAATGTTTTTCAGGCGTTTTCCAGGTCCTTGATGACACTGTTGGTCGGGCGCGTTTCAAACTGACACCGTCTGATGGTGTAACAGCGCTGCAAAAGAATGCCTGTTTTTCGGCGGTATGTGACGACTTCGGGACAAGAACAGGCGGTTTCTGGTGCTTTACTCTTTAACATAAAGGTCTATCTCTGTCAGGATCCTTTCATCATGTTGTCACGCACTAAGAATAACAGTCTGAGCCCGTCAGTGACAAGCACGAACATTTTCAGTGGACGTAGAGACGGAGAACAAAACCCACAAAGTTAAAAAAGTCTATTTGCTGCAGTTCTGTCTGAGACAACCTGCAGATACTGATTTAAATATTAAAAAACAAACCTCTTTATTTCGACCCTCAGAGAAGTTGGGGACGCACTCCACCAGCTGAGCCATGATGTCTGCAGACTGAGTCAGAGAGTCCAAACTCTGCAGGTCCACCTTCACCCCCCCCAAAAAACCCCTCAAACCCCCCACTCTGATCATTCAGCAGGAGCCCAGTGTGGTGAATGATTAACATCCCTGCAGCAGGTCTGTATGTAGGTCAGCTGACAATCATTACACATACACAGTGTCTCTATGAATCAACTCAGAGTGCTGCAGTGCCCCCTACAGCTGACGTCCCCCCTCAGAGAGGAGCTGTTGTTGTTTTTAGGAGGCCAGAGGTCAAAGTTCAGGGTCTGACAGATAAACTCCTCTCAGTGTTTAACCTTTACTTAACCTGCAGTGCTTTTCAGAAAAAGAAAAATAAGATTAGTTCTACAAGGAGAAATCTCTGACATGGTGACAGACCTTAGATTCCATACACGTCCATTTAAAAATGAAACACTAATACTACCGGCAGACTGACAGATCTTTATTGTGACGGGGTTAGATGGAGCCCAGTTACGCCGACAGATATCACACCGTTGTTTAGCCAGCCTTGCCGTTAAGTGTGCAGGGATGAGTGAGTGTCAACGTAACACTGAAACAAACAGGAGGGGAACAGGAAGGAGACATATTTGTGGGTCTGTGCCTGTTATATACAGTAATTAAGCAGCGGAACTAATCCAGCGGTAGCTCGAACCTGAAGAACATCAAACACTGTGGGTCGATCGGCTGAGGAAAGCAAGGGGCCTGTCTGGGAGTCCAGAAAATTTGTCTACACTCCCAAAACAAATGAAAACTGTCCACAAAGGCCACATTGTAATCGATGCACGCCGATGACTTTTCTCCCCAAAAATGCAGTCACCATAAAATCTGATGACCTCCAAACAATAGATTTACGGAATTATTTCTGTAACAGGACTGGAGTTTTCCTGTCTTTGTTCATTATTGTAACCCTGTCTCCTGGTCTCAGTCCAGTCCTGGATGCTTGTTGGGGTTAAATATTAGATGAAGTTACATAACTTGAAGATGAACCCCAGTTAATGAGTGATGGGCTGGATCTCTGACAGCTGATTGGTTCAGAGGACACACAGTGGGCCTGCCTCCTTGTTGACTCAGGAGCTCTGAGGGATAGTACTGTGCTGCTGCAGACAAACACAGTGACTACATGATCCGTCAACACACCATAACTTCTGCTTTTATGTTTTAACAACTTTAGAACTGGAGTTACGTCTCACTTATCAGGTTACACTGACGCTTCACACACAGATGATCTGACCAATCAGATCAGAGTCACCAATTCAGTATCTGACCAAATGTCTCCCCTTTTGTTCCTGAGATATGATGTTAAAACATGATGTCACAGTCAAGCTGACCTTTGGACCTTCATTATTTTATCCTGTTAGACATTTGTGTGAAGTTTTATCAGAATTAGTGAATGAATTCTTGTGTTATGGCCAAAAACATATGTTGTGAAGTCACGGTGACCTTTGACCTTTGACCACCAAAATCTAATCATTTCACGCTCAACGTGATGTTTGTGCCAAATGTGAAGAATGGTGTTCTCGAGATATTGCGTAAACAAGAATGAGACAGATGCAAGGTCACCAACTTCTAATCATTTCATCCTTCACTCGAAGTGATGATTATGCCAAATTTGAGGAAATTCTCTCAAGGCCGTCTTGAGATATCTTATTCTTTTTTTTTTAAACGACTATTGTTATGGGCTTTTTGCCTTTAATGGATAGGATAGTGTGTGAAATGGGGACACAGTCACAGTGACCTTGACCTTTGAGCGCCACGTTCTAATCAGTCTATTCTTGAGTCAAAGCGGACATTTGTGCCAAATTTGAAGAAAATCCCTGAAGGTGTTTTTGAGAGATCGCATTAACGAAAACAAAATGGACACAAGGTCACAATGAACCTGACCTTTAACCACCAAATTCTGATCAGTTCACCTTTCATCCTTCAGGTGACGATTGTGCCAAATTTGAAAAAATCCCCTGAAGGTGTTCTTGAGATATTTCGTTCACGAGAGTGAGACCGACAGACGGACATGATGCCTGTGGCTGTTTTCGGTTTGGAGGTAAAAAAGTTGATGATTTAGCGCAGTCAGACTTTAACAAGGTTGATACTGATCCGAACAAGTGACAGTTTCCCTTTTAGTGATTGATTATATTTTTCTGATCAAACAATATAACTTTTTTCTCTGATTTTCCCTCCAATCAACCTCTGACTGACGGAGCTCCTTGCAGGCAGGTAGATGCAGCTGAAGGTGTTTCACAGGTGCATTATGGGAATAAACAGGTAAAGGTCAATGTAAACTAAAGTTAATGTAAACAAAATAAATTTAACTCAACATAAACATTGACTCAGGACAAAACCGTGTGCAGAGTCATTGCAGAACTTTGAGCTGCTGAGTGATTTTATGATTTCATTGTGAGGTTTTTATGGTGCACATAAATGTGATCACACAGACACTTCCTGCACTGCGGCGGCTCAAACACTCGACCACAACAACGCCTCCGACCTGCAGCTGTTAACCAAAATGGACTCTCTGCTCCTTTTCACTCTGGGTGAGAAAACTTTGTGTTTTTATTCTGGATGTTTCAGCAGGAGTTTGTTATAGCTTCACATGTAAGTATTAATCTACTCTCACTGATCAGTGTGAATGCTGCAGATGCAGAAGATAATACTTCAGGGTCATAAGGACAGAGGGATGTCGTATGCTGTAAAGCCCTGTGAGGCAAACTGTGATTTGTGATATTGGGTTTTATGAATAAAATTGAAAATTGTATGTCGATCTTTAGGTTACTTTTACTACTGTTTGGTTTATTGCACAACCTGGGACCATTACTGGCAATAAGGCCATCCTGACCTAAGAGTGTTGCTGTGAAAACATGGTAGCCACCTTTCAGTCTCTCCCCAGGTCGCCCTGGTGACCTCTTCGCCCCTTTAGCATTGTGAACTATCAATGTTAGTTCTGTTAGCACCGTTAGCTCTGTTAGCACAGTTAGCAGTGTCAGCTTGGCTAGCGGTGCAAATGTGGTTAACAATGCTATAGGGGTTTGATGCTCAAAATGAAGCCGCTTACTCACCGGGTCAACCTGGGGGAAGACCAAAGGGTGGCAACCATGTTTCAACAGCTACACCATCCAGCAGCAGTTATCACCAAATGAGCACCACCGCTAGCTAGCTCCTACCAGACATCGGCCGGATGGTGCGCAGAGCGGCCAAGCTAATGTTAGCTAACTGGTGGAGACTGAAGGGTGGGCTGTGGGCAGCATGTTTCTGCATGTTAATGCGGCTAGCCAAATGTCCGTTAGCAAAGCCAACAAAAAATACCATCTCTAAATGGCTAGCGCTTCAGAAAGCAGCACTTAAGCTCACTGAGTCAGTCGGACTAAAAAGGCCTCTTGTATTTCAAGTTTGTGTGTTTTTCTTAAAAAAACAACAACAACAAAAAAAACAAAATGGTTAGTTAGCAGTTTAACAGCTGACACACTATCACAAAAGCAAAATTAACTAAAACGGACATTCCTAGTTAAAAGACATAAATTAAGATTAATTCTGATAACTTTGGTAAGTGGCGCCTCTCTAGTCTTCCAACCACTCTGCGCAGCCTGACCCCCTTTTTGGTTAATGACCAAAGAACTAATGACGCACCCATCAGCCTCAGTTGTGTGCTGTTTACTGTGAATTAGTTAATTTAATAACAACTTCTAATTCTTGTTAAACTGATGTGTCTCCTCACAGTGGTTCATTTAGCCCCTAGAGCTGGAGCTCAGTCCACCACCAGCACCACTGTAGTCCCAGTACCTGCTGCCACCACCTCTGCCATCCTTCCTACTACTACTACCACCACTGTTCCCCTAACATCTACTTCTCCTACTACTAATATTCCTTCTATTACCACTATGGCTATTGCCACCACCAGTGACCTGATCAGTACTACTTCTTACTTCAATACTACAACCAGTTTAACGACTGCTTCCGACTTCCCCAGTACTACCACTATTACTACCAGTGCATATCCACCTGGCCAACCCACTTCTATGTCTCACGGTACTATTTTACCTACTCTAACAACTGGCCCAGGAGGTACTCCTCTAACTCCAGAAGGTAGTTCTCTAACACCAGGAGGTATTAATCAAACCACTGTCCCAGAAGGTACTACTCCTGATTTAACCACTATCCCAGAAGGTAGTCCTCTTACACCAGGAGGTATTACTCTAACTCCAGAAGGTACCACTCTATCTCCAGGTGGTAGTAATCTAACCACTGTCTCTCGAGGTACCCTTCCAACTCCAGAAGGTACTACCCTATTTCCAGGAAGCACCACTCCAACTCCAGCAGGCAGTAATCTAACCACTGTCCCAGAAAGTACTATCCTGTCCACCAGATCAGAAAGTACTTCAACTGCTGAAAATACAGGACCTACTAACAGTCCCAACACTGCTCCTGTTGCTACCACTGATATAACCCTTGGTACTGACTTACCCTCTGATAATACCACTGTTTTAACAACTGCTACTTTCTACCCCACAACTGGTCAAACCACTACTACATACGACCCTAACAGTACTTCTGGTACCAGCAGTAATCCAACAGAAACCAGCTATTATCCTACTGCTGCTACTGACTTCACTACTACTACTACTACTACTCCTTTTTATCCGACCAATGGGACTGACTTCACTACTACTACTACTACTACTCCTTTTTATCCGACCAATGGGACTGACTTCACGACTACTACTCCTGCTACTGAGCTGACCAATGGGACTGACATCATGACTACTACTACTCCTTTTTATCCGACCAATGGGACTGAGTACCCTACTACTACTACTCCTTTTTATCCGACCAGTGGGAGTGACTTCACTACTACTACTACTCCTTTTTATCCGACCAATGGGACTGAGTACACGACTACTACTCCTGCTACTGAGCTGACCAATGGGACTGACATCATGACTACTACTACTCCTTTTTATCCGACCAATGGGACTGAGTACCCTACTACTACTACTCCTTTTTATCCGACCAGTGGGAGTGACTTCACTACTACTACTACTCCTTTTTATCCGACCAATGGGACTGAGTACCCTACTACTACTACTCCTTTTTATCCGACCAATGGGACTGACTTCACTACTACTATGACTCCTTTTTATCCGACCAATGGGACTGACTTCACGACTACTACTCCTTTTTATCCGACCAATGGGACTGAGTACCCTACTACTACTACTACTCCTTTTTATCCGACCAATGGGACTGACTTCACGACTACTACTACTGCTACTGATCAGACCAGTTGGACTGACTACACTACTACTGCTGCTCCTACCACCACAACTGACTTCCCTACTAGTACTACTCCTGCTCCTGCCACTCCTCCACCCACTACTACTACTCCTGCTCCTACCACTCCTCCACCCACTACTACTACTACCACTACAACTCCTCATCCTACTACTACCACTACAACTCCTCCGACTACCACCCCTCTGGTTTGTGATAATGGAGGGATATCAGTGAGTGGTGTCTGTATCTGTCCTGATGAATGGACCGGAATGACATGCTCAGAGGGTAAGGCAACAGCACAACAGTCTCTACAGGAAACACTCCGTATTATGATCTTTTAAATTACATGAAATAGTTTGTGATTCGTTCCTACCTGGAATCAGGAAATGACAAAACGTTTCTGCACCACCATCAGGAAAAGGTCCACGAAAACTATCCCATTCGCTGAGTACTAAATTGCTCCCTGGTGAATTCTCCGATTTGGACACTGGACTCTGTTTTTGAGTCAAATTAGCAGTAAGCTAAGACATTAGCATTTTGGGGTATCATGAGCCTCTCGAGGCTGCTGCCACGGCTTTAGAAACATTCTGTTCAGAGTTGTTTGACCACAGATTATTATTCGGTGCTGATGTTTCCATCCTGTCCAAGACCAACTTGCCAACAAGTAAACATCTTCAGCTTCTATTAAACTTGTCCTCACAGAAAACTTCTGCCAAGCCCAAGAGTTGGGTGAATTCAAATTCCCACGCACTCCCATTGGCTGGTTTGCATATTCTGAGGAGGTCTGTCCAAAAGGGTCGAGTGGTGGTAAGAGTCTACCAACTGTCAGTCCGTCCATCAGGTACACCATCATATACTGCTGTTTGTGAGCTCACCACTTTAACTTCAACCATTTCATTGCAGCTGGTAAACCCCGGGCTTCGACCCGATGTTCAACCAAGAATGGCCCACCGAGTTTAGAGCATCCACCACAGGTCCTCCAGTGTGACCAGACGCTCAGTGACATACAACAAAACGTGAGAACTACTGTTTTTTTCCCCACAGTGAACGGTAAAGAAACGGTTGATTATTAATGTGTTAAGCAGAGTTACTGCCCCGCAGTTGTTTGGCTCCACCCACCAATCGTGTTTCTCTTACAGTTCTCACTGAATGCTAATCACTCCATTCTTCAGGCAAAGTGGACATTTGCGCAAATCTGGAAAAAAAATCCCCCAAGGCGCTCCTGAGATAACACCTTCATGAGAATGCAACAGACAAGGTCACAGTGATCTTGACCTGTGGCCACCAATTTCTAATCAGTTCATCCATGACTCACAGTGGATGTTTGCGCCAAATTTGAACAAATTCTCTCAAGGTGTCTTGAGATATTGCACTCACAAGATTAAGATAGATGCAAGGTTACAGTGACCTTGACCTTTGATGATCAAATTCTAATCACTTCATCCTTGACCCAAAATGATGTTTGTGCCAAATGTGAAGAAATTGGTGTTCTTGAGATATTGCGTTTACAAGAACAAGACAGATGCAAAGTTCCCTCAGGGAGTTCTTGAGATATGTTCAGGAGAACGGGATGAACGTATAGATGAACGACCCGTAAACATAGTGCCTTCGGCAGCAGGTATCGCCGGCGTGGAGGTATAAAACCAATCACCGACGCCTGAACGTCTCCTCCAGACTTCTTGTTTGATATACAAAGTTTACTCAGTTGATGCTGATGCAGAAACGTAGACGTGTGCACATCTTGTCCAGATTAGGTGAGAGGAAACAGATTCGGTAAAAAGATGCATGAATAACGTTCTTTCTCTCTCAGCTGACCAGCTCTGCTGATTTAGAGATGCTGGCGACCAGCACTCAGATCCTGACCTCCAAACCTGAAGAGCTGACGGCTGAAAACATCACAGCAGCGGCTCAGATCGCCAACACACTGCTGTTGTCTCCGAACGTCTCAGAGGTATGAACAACAAAACTGAAAAAACAGAAGAAGAAATTCCAGATCTATTTAACTGGAGTTTCAAGATGTTTTGGTTCAACAGATGCCAAACGCCAACAACGCCAACAAAACATACGCTGAAACTTATATATGTCACTCGAAAGACCCAAACTGCCTTAACAATGATTCTCGTTGTGTTCATGTTTGTGTTGCAGAGTGTCAGGGTAGCAGCGGTAGCTACAGTCAGCCAGCTGCTGAACACCAGCACACCAGACGATGGCAAGGAAAACAACGCCACTCTGGGGTAAACAAGATCTCATCTCGAGTTCAGGTTTTGATTTCAGGTTCAAGCTGACGTCGTGTTGTTTATATTTACATGTTTATCTTGTGTTCAGTCTGACGGTGACCCTGGATCAGCTCTCTGTGAACCTCAGCCTCAGTCTCAACGTGTCTCAGTCGCAGGTGGTTCAACCAAACCTTGTGGTTCAGTCTGTGCAAATCCCTGCGGCGGACACTCAGGGAGTCCAGTTCACCTCTTTCTCAGGTCACTGTCATCGTTTACTGATTATTTCACAATGATTGATGATGTCACAAGAGCTGACACTTTGGTTCCAAGCTGATGTCAAAATTCTGAAGATGTTTTTTCTTCAGTGACGTCGGTACCTAAAGGTGCAGCAGGTGCAGCTTCGGCAACAGCTCTGCTTCTGCTCATCGTAATGTTGCGCATTTCTGGTCGTCAAAAAGTTGAGAAATGTTCAGCTTTGGGTCAAACACTACAGTCATCACTGTCACAGTGAACAGGGGGCGGGACAAATAGTACACCATCATCAATAGTGCAACCGTCACATCTGACATGTAAGTGTGCTAAACACCAACAGAGGGGGATATGTTAATTATGAATGTCATGGTTGTACATGTTCTGGTCTACGGGTTAGTTTAGCTACTCTTCAGTTTACGGTGCTGTGCACCACCCGGATCTGGTGGGAGCTGGCCAGCACGAGCAGAACTGTTTATTCAGTGGTTACTATATGGTGGCCACCCGCCCCGGTGAGTAAGGCCTCGTGTCCACCAAAGCATTCTTTGTCAAGCTGAAAACACCAGGCGCTCCCCAGGAAACGCACAGCTGGGGGTGTTTCAGAGCGCTTTGGATGCACCGTGTTTTTTTCAGCTGAGGCGCTATGGTTGTGTCTGGTTGCTAAGATACAGAACATGTCAGCACAAGGTAAAGTACTCGCTTTGGATAAGAGGAAGGCTAAAGCATGCAGGGAGAGGATGGACCCGTCGGTCTGTGTGGGTTCATGAGAGGAGTTGTTGTGCACTCACGCATGTCAGATGTAATGGTTTGTCTGGTGGTATTTCTACCTACTCCTGGGGTTTAAAGACTGAAGTAACAGTGATGAACGCAGGGTTTTTATACAAAGTAGAACATTTTTCAGAAAAAAAACAGCCCAACCGGCAGCGCCGCCCTTGGCACGCCCTCAAAAAAAAAGCAACACCACAAATTACCTTTCTATCCCTTCAACAACAAACGTACATGGTTATGTTTAGTCAACAAACGCATGTAATTGGCTTTATCTTACGAGAAGTGAACACCGGCTTCCCAGGTAAAAGTTGGTGGTTGTTGGACCCATCCACCAGCACTGCCTGATTTCATGCTCTGTGATTATTTTATCTAAATTAATCTCACACATAAACTGTTGCTGTGAAAGTATTTAAAAACTCAACTACACTCTGAGTGGATGAACTGTCTCAGGACTCTGTTCTCAAGCTATGGAGCCATAAAACGAAGTTTTATTCCCCATTAATCTCTAAACGTCCTGTCCAGGACGCCACCAGTTCTTTTATATGACCTTCTGTCCTGCTACTGGTGTGACAGCGTCTAAGTTAAACCTTGTGGTCAACAGGACGTCCAGGTTATATAAGATGATCCAGGTTAATTAATCCAAAGTCCAGATGGAGCTGCAGCTGAGGTGTTACTGAACCAAACAGATCAGAGTTCAGTTTTTTATGACCTTAATAACAGTAATATGATTCTGACTCACTGTTGAGTCTTTCTTTGTCTTTAGTCTCTGCACACGAGGACTCTTCAAGTTTAATCACATATTGTAGGACAAAAAAAACAAACACTGAGACACCCTGAGTCTTTTTGTGACAACTAGTGGTTACAAAAACAAAACAAACTAATCCATGTAAAAACAAGATGGCTGCCATCTCTGCCAAGTCAGTCTGCAGCTGATCCTGACACAAAAGTGGGGTTGAAACTTCTTTATTTATGATTGGGACTTTATTATCGTCTTGTTTGAGGACATTGGGACTTTTGTTTTGTTCGTAAACCTTAAACATCACTAACAACTCTTTTTCTTGGTGCATTCAGGAACGTCCGGCAATTTCATTGCCGACCGCATTCAGCTGAACACCAACACGTCAACAGTCGTGGTGGAAAATGGGTTCATCGCCGACGCCCTGATTTACATACGATTCCCACCAGGTGAGTTTCTGCGCTTGAATCCATTTACATACTGATGTTACTAAAGTAAATCCTGCTGAATGTCTTTGTTTTGTGAAGAGGACGCCGTCCGTGTTCATCAGCAGCCGTCCAACGTCTCCCTGGGTTTCGTCCTCTATCAGAACGACCGCTTCTTCAGGTCGAGACGCTACAGACGGCGTCACGCCACCATCAGGGTCCTGTCGGCCACTGTCAGAGGTCAGGGGCGCAGCGTGGTGCCGCAACACGTGGAGATGCTGTTCAGACCGACGGTAAGGAAACTTCAGATCCAATGACTGAATGATAGTCAATAGTCTATGATCGATCTGATTGATCCACTGCAGGAGGTCACGGCAGCAACATTTCATGAATAAAGCCATAACTTTTTCAGAATTAAATACTAAAATTTTGAGAATAAGATTCTAACTTCTTAAAAAATAAAGTTGTGACATTTTGAGAATAAAATCTTAAAATTTCGAGAATAAAGTCAGAATTTTTTTTTTTTTAGCATAAAGTATCATTTTGAAAAAAAGTCGTAATACTCTGGGATAAAATCACAACATTTTAAGAATACATTGTTAAAATTTTGGAGCGATACTGTCGAAAACATAAACACATGATCCTCAGGGGAGCTGTGTATTTTTATTTATGAAGATCAGAGATAAAGACATCGTCCGGAGGTGACAGTCACACTTTGAGTATTGATCAGTCAGACCAAACAACAATCAGCAGCTTCACACCTGCGTTCACCTGTCCGCCTCCTTCCTGCCGTCATGTTTTTATGGCTCAGATAAACCTCGTCAGTCTGCTGCTGGTTCACACAGACCACTGTGGGCGGAGTTTCTCTCCTGGTGGAAGTAGAATCAGAGTAAAACCATGATGAAAAAACACTAAATGTGATCAATGCTAACATTTCAATCATTCAGTCAGAACAGTTTGAGAACATTACATTAACTTTACAATATAAAGTCGGAACATTTCAGAATAAAGTTATCATAGTAAAGTTGTAATATTTAAAAAATAAAGACTCAACATTTCAAGAATGAAGTTCCAACATAAAGTTGTGACATATCAAGAATTAAATGGTAGTATATGAAGAACTGGGTCGTAACATTTCCAGAATGAAGTTATCTTGAGATTAAAATCACATTATTTCTGCAACTCAAAGTTATGCTAATTGTTCGCCATCTTAGCAACATGTCCAATACTTTGGTTTACGACCAAAATGCTTACAAAACATCAACATCGATAACTAATCACTTGTTTAAAATCATAGACCAATATCAAAATATACAAATATTTTGAACTGCTGAATTTTTGGCTTTTCATTTTTTAAAAAACTTTTCGATTATCAAAATAATTACTCCTCTGCTGATGGCCTCGTTTCAGTTGTATTAATGTGACACACACTGGACGAAGATGGCTAACATGGTCAACATGCATCAGGATAAAAACCAATGACAGACCTCCTCCATTTTGTTTTGTAGTCCACGCAGCGTCCAAGCCGTGAGACTGGGTGAATGTCTCAGTGGACACTGAGGCTCACAGGTGTTGTTGTTGCAGGTGATGGACGGTACGTCTCTGTTTGACTTCGCTTGTGTCTTCTGGGACTACAGTCTGGAGGACTGGAGCACCGCCGGCTGCTCCAAAGGAAACGCTTCAGACGGACTCCTCAGATGTTTCTGCAACCACACCACCAACTTCGCTGCGCTCTGGGTGAATAAACTCTGCCACCATGTGTTTCACATCAGACGTCGTCAGACTGAGCTCAGACGTGACAGAGTTACTCTGAGGGTTTTATTCTGTTTCTGTTTCAGTCTTTCAGAGAGAATTACGAATACGCAGAAGCTCTGAACATCATTTCTATCGTCGGACTTTCTTTGTCCATTCTGGGTTTGGTTGTTACGATAATCCACCACCTCAAAGACAGGTGAGACGTTATATGTTATACATCATATAACAGAGCTCCTGACTCAGAGCAGCAGGTTGGTACTTTATATAAAACTGAAAACATTCTCTGTAGCGTTTGTGGAAAGTATTTACGAACATTTACTCGCCACTTTACTACACACGTATGACGTTTTCACAATTAGCATCAGAACTCTTGCTCCTTCTTCATGACGCTGACCTGAACGCACATACATGAAACATTTTGAAATTCACGTCCACTTCCCGCTTTGTTATCTCTGAAGTGACAAAAATAAATGTCCATAAATCCAGAGACGTCGTAGAAACAAGATGCTGCAGAACGAGTCTGAGGATCACGTTTTTACATTTTCTACGGTATCTCACGAAACAACTTTATATTCAAAATGTTACAATTTTATTCTCAAAATGTTACGACTTCATACTCGAAATGTTATGACTTCTTCAAGTGAAACTTCATGCTCAAATTCTTTCAACTTTGTTTTTTAAAAGTAACTTTTTTCCCGAGAACTCTCACGTTTCACTTCTGTAGTTTTCAGACAATGTCTCGTGAGCGTCAGAACTACAAGAACTCCAAACTCGCCCTGCTGTGTATCTGCGTGAGCCTGCTCGCCTTCATCATCACCTTCCTCTCTGGAATTACAAATCGCCGACAGCTGGACGGTGCAGTGGAGGTCGACACGAAAACCAATACCATCCCGGGCTGTGACGAACACGTGGAGCCGGATGGGGGCTCGTGTACGGCAGTGGCGGCTCTGCTTCACTTCTTCCTGTTAGCCACTTTCACATGGACGAGCCTGTACGGCACTCAGCTGGTGATACTAGTCCGGACGATGCGCCAATATCTGCCTCCGTTCTGGACACCGCTCAGCGTGGCGGTGGGATGGGGTACGAGTTTAAAGGGGCAGTTCATAGTTTGTTGAACATGTTGAATTCAAAGACGTGTTCACTGTTGTTTTAACTTCCTGTTTCCTGTTAGGAGTCCCAGCCGTCTCCATGGCGACCACACTGGCAGTGTCCTACAGAGTGGACAATCCTCTAGGATACAGACAGGAGGAATTGTGGGTCCATGTATTATTATTAATATGCTGAACTTTATGTCTGTAGATGAACTCAGTTTGGATCAGCAGTAGAATTTAAATGAAGTTCTGCGTCAAACAAACAAATCCTAGTTTCAGGTTTAAAAAAATGCAATTTCCATCTTTAACATCACTCATGTTTTCTGATGTATGTGTCTCTCCCTGTAGCTGCTGGCTCGCAGCTCTGGATAAGAACAAACACTTTGACTTCAAGAAGCCGATGTTCTGGGGTTTCCTCCTTCCGCTCGGGCTGATCCTGATCTACAACATCATCATGGTGGTTCTGGTCTCTCTGACCACCTGCAGGACCAACCCCGCCCTCAACAGGTAACAATTTCTTATCTGTCTTCATCTTAAAGTTTGCGGAAACATGACGTTATGAAACAAGATGGATTTAAACAGATGGAAATCCAGAAAAAAGTCGAAAATTATTTATTTTGAGAAAAAATTAATATACAAAGAAAGTCATAATATTTTGAGAGAAAAAAAACTTGAAGAAAAGTTAAAAATATTTACAAGAAGTTCTACATTTTTATGTACAGTACAAAGACTTTTGAAAAAAAAATTGACAGCAACGTAGTATTTTTAGAATTAGGTCAAGACACTGTGAAAAATGCAATATTTTGTGGAAAAAGTCATTAAATTAAAAACAAAATTTCTAATGATTTAAGAATAACATAGTAACATTTCGAGAGTAAAAATATAATATATAAATATAAATATAATAATATAATAATATAAAAAAAAAAGTTGAAATATTTTGAGAAAATTTTAATTTAAAACATTAAAAATATTATTGAAAATAATATTTCTTAAAGTATGTTGTAATATTTTGAGAATTTAATCTGAATATTTTGAGAAGAACATCATGGTTCTGGAAGAAAAGTTGTAATATTTTTAAGAATAAAATAGTAATATTTTAAGAGTAAAGTTATAATAGTTGAAATAAAAGTTATTAGCAATAACTAAAAATAATAAATAAAAGCTATTAATATCTTTCAAAATAATGCTTTCATATTTTTAAAAAGTAAAGCTGTAACATTTTGAGGAACAAAGATATGGTATTTTGTTGTATTTTGACTGTTGAAAAATGTCGGAACCCCCAACGCGCAGCGTGGGAGGGAGTTATTTTTCAACAGTCACAGGCTCACTATACATTATCACGCTTAGAACATGGCTTACTACTAAAACATTCAGTGATATGACACAAAATAATGATTAAAGCACGTTTTATTGATTCAATATTCACAAAAAGAAATGTGTCTGTACTCTGTATCCATGGCCTGTGTGCACTAACGTTATTCAGATTCAGATTCAGAATACTTTATTAATCCCCGGGGGGAAATTGTTTTTGTTCCCAATGCTCAGTGCAAAGTAGAAATAGAAATACAGCATGAATGGAAACAAGAGATAAAGATGAAGATATAAATAAGATACTAAAATAGACAATGAAATAAATAAAATAAAATAGTAAAGTAGACAATCTGAAATATATACAATATACAATGAAATGGTTGTAGCGTTATAAATGAAATGAGAATGAGTAGTTATATTGTTTGTTTTTATAAATAGCCAAAAGGTGCTCCTCTGTTCGACCAGAGCGTTGTGGAGAGGGTGAGAGCCATGCTGAAGTATCGCCCGCACCTTTGACAGCATCCTCCTGTCTGACACTGATGTCAAAGAGTCCAGCTCCACCCCCACAACGTCACTGGCCTTTCTGATCAGCTTGTTGAGTCTGGTGGCATCGGCTACTCTCAGTCTGCTGCCCCAGCACACCACAGCAAACAGAATAGCACTGGCCACCACAGACTCATGAAACATCCTCAGCATAGTCCGGCAGATGTTAAAGGAGCGGAGCCTCCCCAGAAAATAGAGGCGGCTCTGTCCCTTCTTGTAAAGGACTTCAGTGTTCTTAGTCCAGTCCAGTTTATTGTCGATGAACACACCCAGATACTTGTAGTGTTCTACGATGTCCACGTTATGCCCCAGGATAGAAACTGGGGTCACTGGTGTCCTCGTTCTCCTCAGATCCACCACCAGCTCTTTTGTCTTTGTTGTGTTGAGCTGCAGGTGGTTCAGCTCACACCATGAGACAAAGTTATTCACCACAGCCGTGTATTCAGCCTCCTCACCCTTGCTGATACATCCAACTATAGCAGAGTCATCAGAAAACTTCTGAAGATAACAAGACTCTGTCTGGTAGCTGAAGTCCGTGGTGTAAAGGGTGAAGAGGAAAGGAGAGAGGACAGTACCTTGTGGGGCCCCGGTGTTGCTGACTGATTTTGATGCTCCTCGGTCTAAGGCTGTTGCTATGGTGTCCCTAGCAACGGAGCAGTAGAGCAGCGGTGATACCTCAAGAAATAAACACCGCAGAATTTTGTTGATTGACCAATCAGACCAGAATCAAGTATTTAAGAGTGCCATGTTCCAAGCAAACATAAACGTTTCTCCTGATGACGTAGAATTACTGAATAATATTCATTAATAAATCCACCGGCCTGTTTTTGTGTCACAGCACCAAACGTTTGTCGCTGTGGAAGAAGTTCCTCACCAGTTTGTCTCTGGTGGTGTTACTGGGTCTGTCCTGGTCTTTGGGCTACCTGCAGCTCGTCACCACGGAAGACACCCACCTGACCTTCAGCATCCTCTTCTGCCTCTGTACAACCACACAGGTGTGTCACTTTCATCTGCTGTTTGTTTTACAGTCTGTCCACAGTATTAATTTGTTTGTGAAGTATGAAGAGAAATCACAACCACATTTGAACACTTAGGAACTGATCGCGCAGTCGTGTTCAGAAGAAGAAACAGATGAAAGAATCCAACCTTTGTTGCCTTCGTGTTGTGTTCTCAGGGCTTTCAGATCTTCGTCCTCTTCACAGCCAGAACGCCGAGCTTCAGAGCCACCGTGTCGCGCTCTGTTCAGTATGTCTCGTCTGTCAACATCTCGCTAAAAGAGACAAAGTACAAGTTGCAGAGGACCTGGGCGACGAGCAGCACAGAGTCCTACAAAGACCTGAGAGACTTCCGTTTGTAGGAACCTTCATCATGACGAACACTGAACGACCTGTTTCTACTGTTTGTGTCTCAGTGAAATCTGACCTCACAGATTTAGTGACTTCCTGTTTCAGAAGTCCATCCAGAACATAGGTCCATGAATCAGCTTATAAATCTCAGAGAAAACAGTCTGCAGAACCTGCCTGAGAACCTCCGTGTTCTTAAATGTTCCTCAGGTTCACAGAGATCCAGTGAGAGTAATCTGTTCATCCGTGAGTTCACTGTGAACTCGAGCTGCTCACACATCGTTCAGCTCACTGTAAATTGACCCACATATAGATTACTGCACCCAGTTAGAGGAAACCCTACATTCTGTTAATGCCTCCTGCTCAGCCAGGATACACTGGAGGAACTACACTTCCCAGAATGCATGGAGTCCCTCAGGAGGAGCCAGGAGATGGAACAAAGACACTGAAACACAGTAAGAGAGAAATCAGGTGAAAATCTGATTTAAATTTAATTTGTGGGTCAAATCAGCTTTTTAAAGCAGTGACTCTGTTTCACCACCAGGTGGCAGCTGTTTGCAACATTCTCCTCAATCAAATCATTTTATTCCTTAACTGAACGTTTATTATTTTATGATGGTTCATCTATAATAATTACATTTTATGTAGAAAAATGTCTGTCAGCAGTTTTCTTCTGTAAATGTTGCGGAGCTGCTGTGTTTCTGTGTTTTGTCACTGATTGTTTAATTTCTATGTAAATATTTTTTTTAAAAAATACATACACTCATCATACACATTACACTTATATTTTTACTTCAGTATTTTTAAAGTTGCTTTGCACATTAAAAACGATTATTGATTTTTAAAATATGGTGATCACATCATTATTATTCAATATAATAACATTTATCACATTATACAAAATGATAATATAATAACATAATATATAACTGTTATTGATACTAAACTTAAATCTGAACCAATGTTAGGGAAAAAATAAATATTGCAATAAACAGAAAAATAATTAATTATAATGGAAACAAAAGGATCCTAAATAATTTACACTTTTATTTTTTTAAACTTTTTAAAATGATGATTAAATATTATAATGTCAATAAAATTTTTCTACGCAATTAATCTTATTATAATACTATAATGTTAATGAAACAATTTTAGATAATTTATACTTATATTCTATTTTCTATATTATGATTTAAATAAAATAATTTGTAATAACTTAGACTTTCATATTTCAAACTATTTTAATGATTATTTAAATATTGTAATGTAGATAAAATAATTCTATATATTTTATATCTTCATTTTTTTTTAAATTTAATAATTATTTACATAATAAATATAAATTAAATAAAATAATTATATTTTTGAGACTTTTTAATGAATGTTTAAATATAATGTCAAAAAAATAATTCTAAATGTTTTCTACTTTAATTTTTGAGACTCTATTGATAAAAATACTTTGATGTAAATGTTTAAATTGCAGTGTTGTAAAAGAATATTTCTACGTCATTGTAATATTTTTATTTTAATAACAGATCAAACTGTGATGATTTTAAGTGTTTAACTTTGTGACTCAAAGACACTGATGATATCTGACATATTTTACTGTGGAGTACAAACAGTGATATTGATTACTGATCAGAACTGATAGACCTTTGTTACAGAGGCCTGTTGATCAATATTTGGTCACTTTGGATAAAATGTGTTTTAACTCTTTCATCTACGTCTTGTCTTTTTAATGCTTTAAACTGGTCTTTGAATCAAACTTTATTTAAATGATTAAACAGTGACTGACGGTCTGAACTGGTCCTCTGACTGATGGTTGAACCAGCACCAGTTTGACCAGTTTCTGCTGGTTTGCTGTTGTTTTATCAGGAGACATGTCCTGGAGACAGTCAGCCACCAGAGGGCGCCAAAACTCCAGACAAACAACAGTGACAGTTCAGAAGAGACAAACTGTCCTCCGTGATCTCAGCGTCCATCAACACACTGTCCACTGTCTTATTGTCCCTGTCCTCCATGTGTACTGAAACATGTTTTCAACAGTCCATTTGCCACAACACTTTTATTTCTGCAAACCTTGAATACAGTTTTACCTGTTAATGTGTTTCGCATCAACGTTTCTGAAGTGACGCAGTATCTGATCTGACTGTCATCAGGAGGTGGAGGAGACAGTGGACGGTGTCACGCCTGCTGACCTGCAGACAAACATTCAACACCAAGACACAATAGAACCTGCCGTCATTTAAAGAGTCAGCTCTGAGTTTCCTGCAGCTTTTCAGACCCTAAATGTGGGTGATTTTTAGGGAATCATCACTGTTTTGTTGATAGCTTTTTAGACCCTAGACATGGGTGTTTCTTGGGGAACTGTCACTGTGTTTCCTTCAGCTTTTCAGACCCCCAACATGTTTTTTTTGAGGGAACCGTCGCTGTTTTTCTGTTACTTTTTGGACCCTAATCATGGGTGTTTTGTCGGGACCGTCGCTGTTTGTCCTGTCAGCTCCCAAACATGTTTTTTTTTTTAGCAACCTGTTGCCATTTTTCCTTCAGCTTTTCATCCCCCAAAACATATTTTTTTGAGGGAACTGTTACTGTGTTTCCTTTGGCTTTTCAGGACCCAAAGGAGTTTTTTTTTTTTCAAGCAACCTGTCACAGTTTTTCCCTTCAGCTTTTTAGACCCTACCTGGGGTGTTTCTTAGGGAACCGTTGCTGTTTTTCCTGCAGCGTTTTTAGCCCCCAGCTGGGGTGTTTTTAGGAAACCTGATTTTCTGTGGGTTTTTAGACCCTAAACCGTGTTTTCAGGGAACCATCACTGTTTTTCCTTCAGTGTTTTAGTCCCTGAATGTGTGTCTTTTTTGGGGGGCCTATCAGTGTTTGTCACTGCTGGGATCATCCCCTCACAAACCTGGTATTCTAGGCCAAAACATGTCATCTCTTCCTGACCATAACAGAGTTTTTTGTGCCTGAATGCAACCGCACATTAACCACAGCGATGTTGAAATTTAAGTTAAACTCATCCACAAAATAATAATGTGCAAATGAAGCGTATCCGTGGTTTCACAGTAACCAAAGTTCTGTCCGACCAACAGTCCAAACCAAAGACATCCAGTCACTGCTGTGATGTAAAACAGAGGAGCTGAAAATCTGGAGGCAAAAACAAAACAGTTCCTGATAAACTGTCTGCAGATCGACTTATTTCATCAAAGATGACTTTTCAAAACAGGAAACTGAGTGTGAAATCAGTAAGTTAACAAAGACGAAACAAATGTTGCAAACATAAAAAATGAAGGAACTGGACTTGATCTATTTTGAAAATGCAGTTTGTTGTTTCCTGTTGAGATGTCGCTGACAGCTCTGATGGTGGAGGTGATGATATCTGAGGAACAAGTTAGCCAAGTCTCACATTCACTTTATATTTCCCCTAAAAGTCTGGTGGCAGGATGAGCAGCATCTCCAACAGCTCCTGCAAACCGTAGTGTCTGATCTGTGTCACCAGGAGGTGGAGGAGACGCTGGACAGTGTCACCGAGGAGAGACGCCTGCCGACCTGCAGACCACCGGCAAACACTGACAAACTACAGAACCTGCCGTCATTTAACGAGTCAGCTCTGCCCTTACCGCCGCTTTGTCACCCCAAAATGTGGGTGCTTCAGGGAACTGTTGCTGTTTTTGTTATGATTTTTAAACCTGAATCATAGGTGCTTTTTAGGGAACCCTTACTGCTTTGTTGGTGGCTTTTCAGACCCTAAACATGGCTGCTTTTTTGGGAACCATCGCTGTTTTGTTGTGGCTTTTAAAGGTGCTGACACACCAAACCGACATCAAAGAACTAGCGGAGACGAAAGCCAACTGTTGCGTCATCTACGTCGCCTCACGTCGCCCTGTGTCAGTTGCATTTGAACACACTACACGGACTACATCCGACGGCCAAGTAGCACGTACGTTCTGCGCCTGCGTGAGAGAGAGCGGAGTGAGAGAGTGGTACATCCTGTCAGCCGAGGGGTTTCCTATCTGTGCAGCCGAGCACCGCAGCACCTCCACGGACTATTACATCCAGACGGACCCGGTGTTTCCTCCACAGGCTCCACTTCACTCAGCTGCCCGATAAACCCGCTGCTTCTTCCCACTTTAACCTGAATAACAAACCAGGGCTCGGTGCTCCGGTTGGATCCAAACGGAGAGCCGGGGCTAGCTCAGAGACTAGCGGAGGCTAACTGGCTGTGCTTCCCTCCGGTCATGCTGCGGCTAATGCTCCGCTAGCCGCTCCCAGCTAGCTCCGGTTTGTTATTCAGGTTAAAGTGTGAAGAAGCAGCGGGTCTGTGGGGCAGCTGAGTGAAGTGGAGCCTGAGGAGGAAGCACCGGTTAGCCCCGGTTTCACTACAGGCAGATTCACTCGCTACAGGGGCGAGGAAATAAAACCTGAACAGCCAATCAGAGTGATCTCTCTCACCGACAAGCTCCGCCGCCGATTCAACATGCTCAATCGGCCGAAAAGCCACTGACGCCGAAGTGCCAACAGTGCGGGACACACCGCAAAAACTAGGCCGACAGACGCTCACCAACGGCCCGACTTTGGTCGACGGCCGACCGTCGGCTTGGTGTGTCAGGACCTTTAGACCCTAAACATGGCTGCTTTTTGGGGGAACCGTTGCCATATTTCTTGCAGGTTTTAACCCCCCAAACTGTGTTTTTAGGGGCTGGTCACTATTTTTCTGCAGCTTTTTGGGCCTAAAATCTGAGTGTTTTAGGGAAGTGTCACTGTTTTTCCCTTTAGAGTTTTAGACCCTAAACGTCAGTGGTTTTCAGGCACCATCACGTCGTTTCCTGCAACTTTTTAGAAACCAAATGTTTTTTTTCTCTAAGCTGTCTTTATAGACCCCAAACTGCATTTTTAGGGAACCGTTTCTGTATTTCCTCTGGGCTGTTAGCCCCCAAAATTGTGGTTTTAGGGAACAGCACTGTTCTTCTTGCAGCTTTTTAGACCCTAAACATCAGTGGTTTTTAGGGAACATCACTTTGTTTTCAAGACACCAAATGTTTTTTTCTTAAGGGACCCAACGCTGTTTTTCCTTCAGCTTTTCAGCCCCCACAAGTGGGTCTTTTTTAGGGGCCCATTGGTGCTTTCACTGCTACGATTGTGCCCTTACAAACCAGGTATTTTAATCCAAAACATGTCATCTCTTCCTGACCATAACAGTAGTTTTTGTGCCTGAACACAACTACACATTAACCACAGCGATGTTGAATTTTTTTTTAGGAAACTGTTGATGTTTTTCTGTGACTTTTCAGACCCTAAACGTGGGTGCTTTTCAGGGACATGCTGCACCTTCAGCAGCTCCAGCAAACTGATTCTACTTATCGACTCGTCCCAGTGAAGCATCAGCACTGAGCCAACACGGTCCATGACAGGACATTAAAACAAGGCCAGTTTGTGACTCATGTTTACTGGGAATTCCTCCTTCGTGGGAAAAACCTGCATCATACTGTATCAACACTTCTCTGTGGAACACACAGAGTTATGCAAGCATTTAATTAGCACAGCAGCAACAAGAGTGTTTTCTGTGTCTTTCCGACACAAATAGCGACGCCCGTCCAACAAACTGACAGCAGCAGGATTAAAGAGCAGGAGACGGACTCTGTGAGGCTGCAGCTGTGCGTTCCACCTGCTCTCAGTCGCTCCACGTCCACACACATGAAGACAAATGACATTTAATCACCAAAACAAACGTTATTATTATGATGTTATTATTTAATGGTGCAGAGCAGCAGCCAGCTGAGGTCATCAGCCTAAAATCAGATCCTTGGCCGAGGCCACGCTGCGTCTCTAACGAGCTGAAAACTCCTCGTTATGTCAAGTCAGGAAACACCAGAAACAGAATCCACCGTCACAAATCATCGAGCGGCGGCGTGAAAACACACAGCGTCGCCGCGGCAACGCAAGTACTGCTGACAAAGAGAGTATCTGAGGTCTGGTTCTGATCAGAGGTCAGATCTGGGTGTTTCCTGTGTGCTGGTTTCTGGGGGAGACTGAGTCCCATCATGAGTCACCAGCGTGGGAGAGTTCGGCCTCCCAGCGAGGACTCTGAGGGTTCCCCACCAGCTGCAGGGCACCTCAGCAGCGTGAAGCTGGTTTCTCCGCATGCTGCGGCGTTCAGTGAAGGCAGCAGCTCTGACACTGAACAGACACCGTCGTTGAGGTGGAAGGTGTTCCAGTCGCCAACACATGCCTGTAAACCACTGCCCCACGTGACATCACATGGACGCCTAATGCCAACTGCCTCACCAAAACAAGTTTCTGATGTCAATCTGTGAATCGTGTAGTTAAAGTATCAGCAGTAAAAGTACACAACTATCATCGGCCTCATGTAATTAAAGTATCTGCAGTAAAAGTACACAAGTATCATCATCCTCATGTAGTTAAAGTATCAGCAGTAAAAGTACATAAGTATCATCGGCCTCCTGTAGTTAAAGTATCAGCAGTAAAAGTACACAACTATCATCGGCCTCATGTAATTAAAGTATCTGCAGTAAAAGTACACAAGTATCATCATCCTCATGTAGTTAAAGTATCAGCAGTAAAAGTACACAAGTATCATCGGCCTCATGTAGTTAAAGTATCAGCAGTAAAAGTACACAACTATCATCGTCCTCATGTAGTTAAAGTATCAGCAGTAAAAGTTCATAAGTATCATCGGCCTCATGTAGTTAAAGTATCAGCAGTAAAAGTTCACAAGTATCATCGGCCTCATGTAGTTAAAGTATCAGCAGTAAAAGTTCACAAGTATCATCGGCCTCATGTAGTTAAAGTATCAGCAGTAAAAGTACACAAGTATCATCGGCCTCGTGTAGTTAAAGTATCAGCAGTAAAAGTACACAAGTATCATTGGCCTCATGTAGTTAAAGTATCTGCAGTAAAAGCACACAAGTATCATCGGCCTCATGTAGTTAAAGTATCAGCAGTAAAAGTACACAAGTATCATCGGCCTCGTGTAGTTAAAGTATCAGCAGTAAAAGTACACAAGTATCATCATCCTCGTGTAGTTAAAGTATCAGCAGTAAAGGTAAAGGTACGTCGGAATTGTTCTTGAGTTCAGTTTTTTTGCGTCACGTTTCTTTTGTGTGCAGTTTGTTTTTGCGTCACAGTGACTCAGTTTCACGTCTGGATGTTTTTTGAATTCTTTGACGTCAGTTCTTCTGCGTTCCTGTAAAAGCACCGTCGGTTCGTCTGTTTCACTTCTTTTAGTTGACGTGTTTGTCTGAAACTAAACAACATGTTCTCTGTAAACACGTGTCATCCGTGTGCGAGGTGCAGAGAACAGAACGCTCTCTATTGTTCTCATATAACTCCGTACAGTCTGTTACCGTGACAATATGTCGAGCTGCATCACCTGACAGGAGAACATGTCAGACTGTAACGTGCGTGAACGCTGAGCTGCTGCAGGGCGGTTTGTTTCCTCTGCAGGGGTGCAGAGGCGGGTGGATGGGGACAGTGTGTGGAGTCTGGAGCACATTAAACTCCTATGTGACTGGAAGCAGATGTGGAGTTAACGTCAGAGGGGGTTTCCTTCATGTTCCGTGGTTTGAGTCAGATTTAAAGATTCAAACACGACAAACGATGTTTCTGTTTGTTTCGGAATCCAGTCAACATGTTGTTTACAGCCAACGTGTTTATCACCGCGCGCAGTGTTTCCCAGCATGCATCAGGACACAAACAGATTCAGTCAGGTGGACCTTCGAAACACAAAAGAAACAGGGACACGGTTCTTTTTTCAAACATGACTCAAACGACATACGATCAATGTTTTTTCTGGCCTCATGTTTTTATTCACTTTGGTTGTTTGTGTATTAATATAATACGTCCAGTTTGCTCTTACGTGCGGTTTGTTTTAACATGTGGTTGGTTTGTGCATCTGGTTTGAACAGGTCATGTCATTAACATCTATTAAAGTATGTTGTATTAGCAGTTAGTACTTCCTGTTTGGGTTCTGAAGCACTTTTCTGATTTCTGAGCAGATTTATAGATGTTTATTTTAAAAGGACATCAGAGATAATGAAATCTTCTGGAAGTGGACGTCACACTGAATCTAAAAGTGTGTGTGCAGATTTGACAGAGTTACGACTCTGAACAGGAGTGCGATTTTCAGAAGTCACACTGAATAATAACATTAATGTCTAACATCCAAGACAAGCTTGTGTTTGACCCATCAGGTGCTTTAAAACGTCCTCACGGTTTCGTCCCCTGTCAGATACAAACAACAACAGCTGTGACGTGGAACACTGATGCGTTTGCAAGAAGCGCCTCCACGGCGATGTGTTGCAACACTTCCTGCCTGGCAGCCTGATATCTTGTTTCCAGCTCCCAGCTGTTTACTGATGCACTGATTAACGACGTGTGTTGGTATGTTGGAATCTTCATACATGTTCCTGTGTGTCCTAACCCCACTCTGAACTCTCGGCCAATCAGCTCTGTGGCTCAGACCTGCCAGGACCAATCAGACGCGGCGTTCTCCAGGCCAATCCCGGCTGGGTGAGCGCAGCGGCGGTTTGGATGCGGGCCCCGGTTGTCGGAGGCCTCCCCGGCTGTGCTGTAATCTAATTTTCTCTTTAATGGCGGTGATGAGAGCAGCAGATTGGAAACATGTGGAGAGCTGAGCGATGAGAGACAACACAAACACACGTCTCTCCGAGTTAAAGACAGGACGACCTGGACACGGGCGCAGTTCAGGGCACATCTGAGTTTCAGTCTGAGGGACAGATATTTGTCTTTATGCACTTCACCTCCAGCAGTGCAGTTTTCCAATGTAACGACGTAAATGAGCTGCAGGTCGCCAGATCTGCACAAAGTGCCACTTAATAAGATCTGATGTTGTGCCTGAGGCTCAGGGTGCAGATTTGCAGAGCAGCAAAGTGCAACAACAAAAGTTTCATGCTGCTGAGTTTTAAATATTGATCAGAGTAAGGAGCTCCAGGTGAGGAAATATGAACCTGAAATATTCCAGGCTGCCAGAGAGACAACTTTTCAGGGGGGGAAGTCTGAAGTCCACAGCTCTAAATCTTCAGGCAGGTTGTGAAGCGCTTTTTTCCCTCTGATTTCTGAGCAGATTTATGGACGTCTTAATTAAACAGAGACACTTCATTAAGTAAAATAAAACAATTAACTAAATGAAATACAAATAAACTCATAAACTATTAAAATAAAAAATATAATATATGTACATTTTTGCACTACTGAAGCGCATTTTTACTGACAGTACATATGGGTGGAGTCTGTTGTATGGGTGGTCACTGTGGAGCATGTTTGGAGCGCATTTTGCAAATGGAGCACTTTTTACCATCGCATTTGGATTCTTTTGTTTCGCACTATTATCGTGCACATTTTAACGTTGGTGCGTTTTCTTATTTTGTTATCGGTGGAACGTGTTGAAACTTTTGTGAAGCTGCAGCAGAGGAACAAGGCCCCAAAGATCCAGAATAAGAGGGTTTTTCTCACATGCTGGACTTCAGTATTTATCCTCTCTGTGACAAACCAACAGGCCCGAACTGATCAGTCAACAACCTCAATCCTCCTCTACCCCCCACCACCCCACCCCGCACCCTGTCCATCTTCATCCTCTCAAACTCCAACACGTGTTGTGAAACTTTTGACAGAGGCGTGTTGGACGTGAGCTGTCAGGTGGCTGGTGACAGAGTGCGGGGTCTCCGCTGTGAATGAAGCTCTTTGTTTCACCTGTTTACACTCCGAGACAGCTGATTGGTCCTCGGAGGGATCGAGTTTCAGACCGCCAAGCTGATGTCAGGAAGTCAGATAAAGTTTCTAAACATCAGAGTGCACTCTGGGAAACGTCATCTGTCTCCATTAAAACATCTTATGGCGTCGTCACCTGTTCAGTTAATGTGGAGCTGCTGACGTCACTACGTCTGGTTTATACGGACCAAAGTAAGTGATACCACAGTAAAACTACTTTATTACAAGTACTAATACCGCAGAGGAAAAATACTTCATATAACTAAAGATCAGGTTTTCTAAAGTCTTCTTTGTGTGTATGAAACTAAAGCTGTGAGATAAACGCAGCATAAAGTACCTGCTGTGTGTAGTGCAGCTCAGTACTCGTGAGTAAAAGTACTTGTGAGGTTCCTGCTGTCATCCATCAGCCTGCCTGTTACATAAGCCTCTGCTCGGAGGGGTTTTCCTGCTGAGTGAAAGCAGACCAGGACCTGCAGCAGTTCTTTAACGGTCTTATTAAAACATACAGCGAGCTCACGTGAGGCCCCGTCCAGCTCCGGGCCCCCCGGGCCCCCTCAGGGACGGACAATTATATTTTAAAAGAGCTTTTTGAACTAATTCTTGAGCCAATAAAGAGTGTGTGCTGGCTGTGGGACGGCTCTGAGATGTTTACTGCACTCAGATCTTTACGGGCCGGAGCCAGAGGCAACAACCATCCACATCAGTCTGAAGGCATAATTACAACCAGTCCAACCTCAACACTCGTCCCCGCAGAGCCAAAACCTCCGATTCAGAGCCCCCTCATGTGACCGTCAGCCAGCCGTCAGCCACATCCAGCCTCTGCTCAAACAATCAGGTTCTCTTCTGGCCCCAGTTCTGCTCTGCTGAAGTAATCAGGGTCCCGGTTTGGACGGCCCCCGGTGGGAGACGTGGGGGCCAGCGCTGATTAAGTGATGTCTTTTGGAGGAGACGGTTCAGGTTCAAAACTTTTGTTTGAAACTCAGAGGAAAATCTCCATGAGAGCAGATGGTGAACACACACAGGAGGAGCAACCACACCACGCACCAGACCGCTGACTCTACTGTCAATCAAACAAACAAACAAACAAACAAACAACAGACTTTACCATGAAAGGAACAAAACAACTGACATAAAGACACCACACATCCAGACTGTACCTGCGTCTTTCTTGAAGAGACAAATGTCCAAACTCTACATAGAAGATTTTTAAACAACAGCAGAGCAGAACTTTCTAGGAAACTAAAACAAACTATCATTTTTATTTAAAGTTATCCAGTTAGTGTGTTCACTGAACTGACGTTAAAATGTTTGGTTCATAAAATGACAGAAAAAAAGTAAAAAAAAAAAAAAAACACGTCCAAGTCAACATCTTCTTTTAATGCGTTGATGTGTCCAAAAAAATAAATCTCAGAAAAAAAGTAAAAAGAAAATGCCTTTGAAAATTTTTTTAGTTCCCAAATGCCCTGCACACATTTTAGTTAGAGAATGGCCTACATTCATTTTTAGTTCCCATACGCCCTTTGCTGGTTTTAGTTCCCAAACACCCTGTGCTGGTTTAAGTTACCAAACGCCCTGCGCTGGTTTAAGTTACCAAACACCCTGTGCTGGTTTAAGTTACCAAACGCCCTGCGCCGGTTTTAGCTCCCAAACGCCTTGGCTGGTTTTCGTTCCTCAATGCTCTGTGCTTATTTTAGCTCCTGAATAACCTGTGCTTGTTTTAGTTTGCAAATGCCTTTCACTCATTTTAGTTCCCAAATGCCCTGCACACATTTTAGCTAGAGAATGGCCTACACTCATTTTTAGTTCCCAAACAGCCCACGCTTTTAATTCCCAAATGTCTTGTGCTGGTTTTAGTTCCCAAATGCCCTGCGCTGGTTTTAGTTCTTGAACGCCCTGATCTGGTTTAAGTTCCCAAATGCCATGCACTGGTTTTAGTTCCTGAATGCCTTGCCCTGGTTTTAGTTCCCAAACGCCTTGGCTGGTTTTCGTTCCTAAATGCCCTGCACTCATTTTAGTTTCTGAATAACCTGTGCTTGTTTTAGTTCCCAAATGCTTTTCGCTCATTTAAGTTCCAAAGTGCCCTGCATTTGTTTCGTTACAGAATGCCTATGCTCATTTTAAGTTCCCTAACGCCCCATGCATCTTTTATTTCTCGAATGCCCAGCTTTCATTTTAGTTCCCAAATACGCCGCGCTCCTTTTAGTTCCTGAACACCCTGTGCTCACTTCTGTTCACAAAAGCCCCACACTCATGTTAGCTCCAGAATGGCCCACGCTGGTTTAGAGACCCTGAATGCTCCACACTCATTTTAAAATGTCCATGTGTGAATCAGTTAGTCACACTGTGTTACCTTTAATCTGTGAAGGAAACTTTTTCCTCCACAGAAAACAGCAAATATTGATTGATTGATTGATTCATTCATTCATTCAATGGCATTCACACTTAACAAAAACAAAACTATATCAGAACATCTTTTTACAAACTGTCACACAACTCCAGTCCGATTTATTCAGTCTGATGTTTTAACACTTCACAAACACACACGAACGCACTGTAAATGATTAAAGGTGAAAACTATAGTTTTGTAGAACGTACTTTGACAAGTGCAAATATCCAGACTGTGTCTGTGTGCTCACAGCGTCACGTGAAGCTGAGGCTTTTATTTTGAAGGAGCAGAGGAATGAGCGGTATGTGAGCTGTGATTGGCCGGATGAGTCGAGGTCGTCTTTATCAATGGAGGTCACCCATCACTCTGACACTGACCGTAGAGGAAGGAGGCAGGTGTGACGAGGACTCTGACGTCCCCCCTCTGGATTCAAGGATAACTGGACCTGGACCCAGACCAGTCTGTCCTGGATTATGTAACTGGGTTTGATGGAAACCAGCTCTGTGGTTCGAGGACAGACGTCTCCTCAGGTTCTCTCTACACATGGATGTCTTCCTGGTCCACGTGTTGGGGGGGGGGGTTGAGGGGCGAGGAGTGCTCGTCTGGTTTTCCTCAGACAGCGAGTCTAAAAGAAAAAATCAGCAGCATTGTTATTATCATCAGGTACAACTTCAGCACACACACTTCAGTCCACTGTGTGTGTGTGTGTGTGTGTGTGTGGGTGGGTGTGTGTGTGTGTGTGGACATCTCAGCTCACACTTCCTGATCGATTTACAGGTGACTGGTTACCTGAATCAATAACCATGCTGAAGGTCTGAGTGTTTTTTACGTCTGTCAGGCGACTGAGAGTCACAGGAATCTGTCAACATGTAAACAAACACCACAAGTTTAAAGTCAACAGCAACACATCATGTCAGACAGTTTGACCTCTGACCCTCAGAAGTCAACTCAATCAAGAATAGTTAAGAATGTCGTTGTGATGTTTGACGGCACTTTGACTGAGTTTCTATTTTTAGTTTCAAAAATCTAAATTTGTCTGCTGAATTTTCTGAAAAGGTTCAAAATCTTAAAATAATTTACTGACGCCCCGCACTCATTTTAGGATGCCAAACACCATGCATTGTTTAGTTCCCAAACACCCTACGCTCATTTTCATTACCAAATGCCCCAAGCTTGTATTACTTCCAGAATACCCTGCCCTCATTTCAGAATTCAGGTTCTCATTTTAAGTTCCCCAACACCCACGTTCATTTTAGTGTTTAAATGCCCTGCGCTTGTTTTAGTTCTGGAATGGCCTATGCTCATCTTTAGCTCCTGAACAGCTCTCGCTCATTTTAAGTTCCCTAACACCCATGTTCATTTTAGTTCCCAAATCCCCTTGCACTGTTTTAAGTTCCCAAATGCCCAACCCTCATTTTAGTTCCCAAATGCCTTGCACTCGTTGTAGTTTCAGAATGGCCATTTTAGGTTCCCTCATGGCCCACACTAATTTTAAGTTACCTAACATATTCAGTGCCAGAATGGCCCATGCCCATGGCCAATTTTTAGTTCCCAAGTGCCCTGCGCACGTTTTGGTTCCAGAACATGCGACACTTCGTTCTCAAACGCCTGGTGCTCATTTTAGTTCCAGAATGGCCCACACTCATTGTTAGACCCTGAACGCTCACGCGAATCAATGTTACCTTCAGTCTCTGAAGGAAACTTTTTTCTCTCGCTGCTCCACGGAAAACAAGGAACACATTAATTTATTGATTTATTGATTGATTGGTGTTTACGTTTATCAAAGACCAAACATCTGTTGACAAACTGTCACACAGCTCAAGACTCATTCATCCAGTCTGATGTTCACAACACTTTTCAGTATGATGGCTGTTTACCATAGAGGCATGAAAGAAAAATGTTTCCTTCACACATTGAAGGCAACACAGCGTTACAAACTGATTTACACATGGTCATTAGGAAGGTAAGGTATTTCTTTAAGACCCTGAATACCCCACACTCATTTTAGTTCTCTTCTTTAAACAACATCACTGATTTTACATCAACACAGTATCAGTAGATCAAAGGTTAGACAAATCTACGATCATTTCTACGACCAAAGGAGAAGAGAAGGAAACATGAGGTGATCTGAGGTCACTTCCTGTAACAGTCCAGAAACATGAACCATCGGACTGCTCGGAGACTTCATGAAAGCGTCTCTGTTAAACATATAAAAAGACCAAGAAGTCAGTGGAGGTTATCAATTTCTGAGTGAGGGTTTCCCTCGACTCACCCAGCCCCCGTCCCTCATTGTGTCCTCCCACGCTCTCTCCACTCAGCCAGGCCAAGTCCTGATTTTCCTAAAACAAGGGAATCCCAGTCCAGATAAGCCAGGGTGTGTGTGTGTGTGTGTGTGAGAGAGGGGGGGGGGGGTTCCTCTGCGTCGTAACTCATCTGTCAGAGATACTTGAGGAAACAAAGAGGGAGACATTTGGAGTCCAGACCAAGAGCTGAGGAGGACACAAGGACAACTACAAACATCAGCGACGATACGGACAGAGAATACTACAACTTCATCAAGTCCGAACTGACTCGAGGCCAAGTCATGTGACTAGAGTCCAAAGATATGCTGTTTAATAAGTAGTCAATCAGTAAGACCCAAGTCAACACCAAAAAGTCTCCTTTCAAGACAATCAGGTCCCGAGTTAAGACAACATCAAGTCCAACAAGTGAAAACCGTTTTTACTCAGCTCATCAAATAAAACAATCAGTGTTGATTTTATGTGTCAGAATCAGACTTCTAGTACAAACAGATCCAGAATCATGTCACATAGTCTCCTTACCGAGTGGTCGATAAGGAAAGGACACAGAATAACGTCTGCACCAAACATCCTGTGACACATTCCTCACAATGTTCCAGGGTGGCCCGCTCTCGTTTTTACCTCCCCAATGTCCCATGCTCATTTAAGCCCCCGAATACCCTACGCTCATTTTAACTCTCCAACACCCCATGCTCTGGTGCTTGTTTTAGCTACCCAGCAGCCCACGCTTGTTTTTAGCTGCCAAATGCCCGCGCTCATTTTAGCTCCTGAATTACCCTAAGCTCATATTAGTTCCAGAACACCTAGCACTCACTGTAGTTCCCGTGCATTTTAGCTACCCAACAGCCCACAGTCTTTTTTTTAGTTCCTGAAAATCCTGCACTGATTTTAGTTCCCAAAAACCTGGTGCTCATGTTAGTTCCAGACATCCTGTGCTCATTTTAATTCCCAAATGCCTAGCATTCATCTACGTTCCAAAACGCCGGCACTGATTTTAGTTCCCAAACCCTCCATGCTCAATTTAGTTCCCAAATGCCCCATGCTTAACTTAGTTCCCGAATATCACAAACATTTTAGTAGCCTATCAGCCTATGCTGGTTTTTAGCTCCCAATCACCCTGCACTGATTTTATTTCCCAAACACCTGGCACTCATTTTAGTTCCAGAACACCATGCTTTCATTTTAGTTTTCACTTTATTTCCCAACAAGCCCACGCTCATTTTAGTTCCCAAATTACCCGCACTTATTTTGTTCCAGAACACCTCACATTCATTTTAGTTCCCAAATGCCCCACAGTCATTTTATTTCCCTAAAATCCTGTTCTGATTTTAGTTCCCAAATGTCCCAAGCTCAATTTAGCTCCCAAACACCTGTTGCTTATTTTAGTTCCAGAACACACCATGCTCATTTTAGTTTCCAAACACTCTATTTTCACTGTATTTTCCAAATGGCCAGCACTCACTGAGTTCCCAAGGACCCCACTCTAATACAAGTTCCCAAACACCCCACAGTCAGTTGGAAAAGGCCTCAGAATAAAACACGTAAAAGGAAAGAGCATTATATGAAAACTTGTGTAACAAACGTCTTGTGAAACAATCATCACATTCAAACACCGGATGATTTTCAGGGTCGAGCTGCTGCAGGTTGAACACTGAATCACTGCAAAAACAATTAACAAGTGAACCTCTGCGGACTCATAACTTCCTGTGTGGAGAGGGGAACAGATGGATGACGCACAGAACAGGCTGGTAGAGCCAAGACTGTCAGTGAGGAGGGCAGGTGCATGAAGGCAACATCCAGGACTTCATCTAAATGGATTCTACCATCCAGTCTACCTTTAAACCATGTCCGAATCATCCGAAACTCTAACTCTGAATCTTAAAATTTAAATTATGAAAAACAACGTGTAATAACGAGGTTTATCACGATAATATTCTGAAATCAACCCTCTCATTTCAGTTCCCAAACACCTCAAACTCATTTCAGTTCCCAAACACCTCAAACTCATTTCAGTTCAAGAGCGCCCCAAACTCATTTCAGTTCAAGAGTGCCCCAAACTCATTTCAGTTCAAAAACGTCCCAAACTCATTTCAGTTCAGAACGCTCCAAACTCATTTCAGTTCAAGAACGCCCCAAACTCATTTCAGTTCAAGAGCGCCCCAAACTCATTTCAGTTCAAGAGCACCCCAAACTCATTTCAGTTCAAAAACGCTCCATACTCATTTCAGTTCAAGAACGCCCCAAACTCATTTCAGTTCAAGAGCGCCCCAAACTCATTTCAGTTCAAGAGCGCCCCAAACTCATTTCAGTTCAAAAACGCTCCATACTCATTTCAGTTCAAGAACGCCCCAAACTCATTTCAGTTCAAGAGCGCCCCAAACTCATTTCAGTTCAAAAACGCTCCATACTCATTTCAGTTCAAGAACGCTCCAAACTCATTTCAGTTCAAAAACATCCCAAACTCATTTCAGTTTGAGAACGCCCTAAACTCATTTAAGTGACATTCACAGTGGAGCAACTGCTGCTGCAAGTTAAACACTGAATCCTGAGATATTGCATTCCTAGCAATGCTATGACCTTTGACCTTTGACCACCACATTGTTAAAACCAAATATTTTTCCTTTTATTTTCACGCCAGGTGAGACAGGAAGAAGAGTCTGAACTGTACCTGCTCTGTGAAGCAGCTCTCAGATCTTGCTCTTTTTTATGTTTCCCTCACGGTCCCCATGTTGCCTTCACAGATCCCATGTTGCCTTCACAGTCCCCATGTTGCCTTCACAGTCATTGTCTGTTTTAGGAAAGAAAATGAAATGACTGATGCTCATTATATAAACAATAAAATAAATCAGTCTTAAAGAGTTAAAGAGTTCAACAAAATACATTTAATCTTTCATAAATATATTGATTAAATCTCCATTTTTTAAAAAATGTATGACTCTATTTAATATCTGAAACTCCATTTCCGTCACTTTAAACCAGTTCAACAGTCTGACCTCAGCCAGTGATCCCAGTCCTCTGTACTCGGAACGTTGATGTGTTACATAACAGAGTGAAATTACAGCTCAGCTATTATTTTCTTTTTCTTCCTCTGTGGTGAATAAACTTGTCACTTTTTTTCCCCCCGCCAAACTGAAATAATGCGCCAGTTTCCACGGCAACGGGACTACAAAGCCTATCGCTGCCCCTGCGGTTGGAAAAGTGATGTCATCCGTCACATCGGAGCTGGTATTTCTGACTGTGGACCAAACCCCATGCACTTTTCTACTGCTTTTAAATCTGTTCCCCACCAAGTCCTGTTAGTACACACAGTACCAGTACACACAGTGCTGCAAGCTTAACAAGTCTGTAGTATTGGTATATGAAGATTTGTGGTGGTAAAAGTTACTGCAGTTTGAAAGTTTGTGTTTTTATTTGATTGTATTTGAAGTATTGTTATTGTTTGTTTGTTTACAGTTTTTTGAAGCTGGTTTTGTTTGTATGTATCAGATAAATAAAAACAATACTAACTGTTTCCGGTGACTGTTTGTGATGCAGTCTGGTTCATGTTCTGTAAAAGATCCGGAACATTCTACCCAGGAATTCAGCTTTTCTTGCGAGAGTACCGCACACTCTGTAAAAGTGGCATTTTTTATTTTGATCCATTAGCTTGCTGGAATTTCATCCCCATTAGCCAACAAGCTAACGTCACATTATCCTTCTTAAATCACAACTAGTCCATAGCCATTGGCAGCTATGTCACCTTCTACCTATGCCAGTCCTCAATGCCTATGTGCAGTTTCACATAGATTGACCACGTCAGTGAGTAGAAAAACATGGGACAGACAGAATGACTGACTGACAGAATGACACACTGACAGTTTCAATGATTATGTACAGCATACCATACCATGACTTAGTCATACCAAACATTAGAAACAACACCAACATTGGTCCACAGGGGGAGCCACAGCGATCGGTCACATTTTAGCCATTTTGAAGCATTTTTCTGTTGTTATAGCGCCACCCAGTTGCCAATTAGAGTTAAATTTCTCCAGTCACCTTGAGGCGTCCTGTTCTACATATCTACCAAGTTTAGTAAAAATCCATATGGCGGTTAGGCCTAGATAAGAAATGAGCTCTCTAGCGCCCCCATTTTGTTTGATGGGGTCAATAATGGAGGGGTCCCCTCAGATTATGTGTGGTCATATGCCTACAAAGTTGCGTGGTGATGGGTGAAACCCTTGAGATGTTATACACCTTTATGTGATGAGCCACGCCCTCCGCAATATTCATTGCCTTATAGAAGCTCAGTTTTAGTAAGTTTTCCAACTTTTGCCAAGAGGGAACTTTAGATATTGGTCCCTAGATTATGTTCACCCAGTTTCATGCAGATCGCACAAACTTCCTAGGAAGAGATCCATTTGAAGTGTTTTTCAAAAAATTCAAAATGGCGGAAAATCTATATAAGCGGAAGTTATGGGTTCTTGAGGCAAATGTGTTCCTCATGAGGAGAGGCATCTCTGTGCAAAGTTTCATGTCTCTACGACATACGGGGCATGACATATGCCCATTCAAAGTTTGACATTTCAGTTGGTTGCTATAGCGCCCCCCTTTGGCCAATTGATGTAATATTGCTTCATTGGCATCCTCCCATGACCCTCTACCACTGTGCCAAATTTCACATGGATTGACCAAGTCAGTGAGGAGAAAAACGTGGAACAGACACACACACACAATTTTTCTCATTATATAGTAAGATATCCCAAAATATAACAGGCTAGTTTTTTCTGTAGGAATATTATTCAGCAGCTTATCAGTGAATTTAATACATTTACTGTTTATCAGAACACAAATGAACCTCCAGAAATCCACTAAGAAAACACAGAACAAAGCAGCTGCAAAACTCACCTGAGAATCTTCGTGTTTTTAGGTTCTCTTCAGTTTTAAAGTAATCCAGTGACAATTGTCCATAAATTCATGGCGCCATTGTAAACAAGAGCTCCTTGCGGATAATTCGGCTCACTTTAATGGACACTTTAAACTAAAAGTGAACAAACAGACAAGAAAACATATTGTAGCTTACAGCTAACTGTGACTGGCTCCAATACAGCCATACATGCCCCAAAGCATTATGGGAACTTCCCAAAACTTTATTGCCCCCCGAAAAGCAGACAAAGAATAATATTGATTTAAAAAAAACATTAATATTATTATATTATATTGTTTACTATCAACAGTTAAACAAACAGATGGAAGGTGTTTGAATCTGCTGCCTACAGCTGCTAATTCGGTGACCGATTATTTTTCTCAACAAACTGAATAAAACCCATAAAATATACTTCATGTATCTGTTAGAGTAACTTGTTTGCAGCATTAGTACAAAGTTCTGAGGAACGTAGTACAATTGTTAGTCGGCTATGTGAATGTTTACAGCTGCACACGTTAAAAAGGTTTTCTATCAGATTGAAAATAAAGACATTTCCATTTTTAAAAAAGAATCAAAACTTCTTTATTGTTAAAATCAATACAGAAATGTGTAAAAACACCAACAGCATCATGTTAACGTACATTCTCATGTTCTTTGGCACTCCTCTGTTTTAAATGACATGGGATCAACATTAAAGGCACAGTTCACTGTTTTATTTTCAGGAAACAGCATCCGCCCAGCAGGCTACATGTTGTACAAGAAGGAGAAAACACCTGACAGCTCCTCTCTTTCTTAAACTGGCGCTAACATTTCCTACCAGCCCAATAAATGTTTCTCGTAGGCTAACTAATTTTACAGAAATGCTAACCCTGCTTTAGATGTGCTCTAAAATGAAGTTATTTTCTTGCCCAAAAATCAGATATTTGGGGAAAATGAGGACATTTTAGAATTTTCTAGCCATTGAACTACGTAGTTAGCTTGCTGCCCTGGACACACGTAGCCTGTTTTGGTGGCTAGTTAGCCATGTTAGCCACGGAGTCTGTGTCTGACATATGCAAACAATTTAAAGTTTTGATGTTCTTCTTACTTCTTCTTCCATAAATCAGATTTGGTCGGTTAAAAAAAAGAAAGTTAATTTGTTCAAATACAGATATTTTTAGATTTACTAGCCATTATGCTGCACCGTTAGCTTCCTGCCCTCCTACTTTAGCACGAGGCAACAGGAAGGAGAAGGTTATAGTACATTAAAGACAAAAAAACAAAAGGACATGGCGAGGGAAATGCATCTGCAAAATGTATTGAACACATTCACTCCATATACATATAAATACATTTTTGTTGTGCAAATTGCAAGTAAGGACACCTCCGGGCGGCTAAATGCAGCGCAGCATGCTGGATCGACACATCTGGTGTGTTGACCTGATGGTTTATTGTATTTTTATTATTACGTTGATATAAATTTACACATTAAACCCCAGAGATTCATGATGTGCTAAAGCTAACATTAGCCCATTTGGCACTTTGTCATCAGTCGACCAAAACAAAATCTGAACAAAACTGAATTTGTAAAATGTCGCTGATATTGTTGCGTTAACGTTTAGGGTGGTTCTAGGTAGACATTCTGAGAAATATCCACACGCAGCCCATATTCTCCACATCCAGCGGACTGTCTACTGGTTGGCTTGTTTAAGGCGCATTGGAGCCGCCGGGAGAGAACTGGTTTTACTGGTCAGCTGCCAGTTCTGGTACCTAGCCTACGTTTTAAACCTTTTGCTCAACTTGCAAATGAACAGAAATGAGCTGAAAACAAAATCGACACCAGAGGAACAGAAGACGACCACTTCCTGTTCTGGAAGAAATGTAATCAAAGATAAATAAGTTATGAAAATAGTATTCCAGGGAGCCAGCTTCCCATTATTTTACACAAAATAAAATATATCTAACGTGGGTCTGCTTCCCCCCTACAGCGCAGAGAGGAACCAGACCTCCACGTATCCTCCTCTTCTTCTTCTACCAGTTTAAATAGTAAAGACGAGGCATGTCTGCTATATTTAAAAATGCTCTCTCATTACTAATTCCCTGACGAGTATGTCCTGTACATGTTTTTACAGCTCTGGGTAAGGTGGTGGAACATGAAGGTGAAGTCCGGAAGATCTTTAAGGACCCCTGCTGCCGTTGCCATCCCAGCCTAGGCGACGGTTCCTCTTCTGGGGTTCACTCAGCCTCAGTCCGTTTACCATTTCCCGGGAATGGGCGTCCCACACTCGTACCATGAGACGTAGTTTATGTGGGTGTGTCCTCCTATCTGGCCAAAGTGGACTGGCTCCTGCCGCACGGCTCTGTAGAAACCTGGACCAGGAACAACAGGTGAACTGTGAGAAGGACTTATGGTTTTATGGTTTTATTTCAGTTGGAGGTTCAAAAGAAATTATGAAATAAAGGTTTATCCAGGTCTGGACCATCAGGACTATGAAATAAAGGTCTTACCGGGCCTAGATGGGAGCTGGTCTGCTCGGAGCTGCCGGCCCGTTCTTCCATCCAGGAACGAATCAACGAACTGACAGTGGTCCTCCCCGAAGCCTGTCTGATCCCCAATGTTGTAGAATTTACCTGCAGGGTGAAACAACCAGAGACGGATCAGACCCGGGCTCAGATGAACTCCTGCATGAGGCGAAACAGGTGAATGTTACTCACCGTTGAGGGAGTCGCTCAGGTAGATCTTGTACCTGAGCGAGTTGCACAGCTGGATCCCGACGAACTTCCTGTACCAGGTTCTCTTCACGTACTGTTTACCGTGACAGTCCGAGTACGAGTCCGTCTTAAAGGGGAACTGAGTCCAGATGGCGTCTTTTCCTGCAGAGATTATTGATCAATTACTGTAAGATACTGATCACTGTAAGGTACTGATGAAACTGGTTATTTTATTGTACCTGAGACATTCTCACTGACTCGAGGATCCGCTGTTGAAGGAGGCAAAAGAAAGGAGACTTTTAACATCTTGAAAACTGGTTCAGTTCAGTTCGGTCTGTTTACTTGAGAACTTCTGAAAGTAAAATATTAAATTTGAACTTTTATAGGACTGTACCGGACTCCGTGTTGAAGGACACCGGCTCACTGGGAGGACCTTCACCCAGCTCGTTCTTTGGTTTCACCTTAAACTCGTAACTGTCAACAAACACAGACGAAAGGAGAAAATATAATTGTTACGTGATCTTAAGTGCTACATCGTAGCCAACTGGACTTTTGTCTCTCATCCAAGAAGCTTCTTCAGTTCTAAATGACTGGTGCGCAGTCGCAGGCTTTATACTCTGTGTGAGGTCACTCACACCCGAGTGTGATTGTTGTGTTTACATCTGCCCAAATGAACCTGAGTTCGACTGAACTGAATCAAACAGGTGTGAAAGCACCCTAAGGAGAAATCTGGACCCCATGGCTGGACCAATAGGGAACCACTGCTCCAGGGGTCAATTTGGATGAAACTCTCAGGTTATGTTCCTGATATCTAATACCAATCAATTTCAGATTTATACTCTGATTTGGATGGTTCAATGCCCATTTTTGGCATTTGCTGCACCCCCTGGTGGTTGATTTAAATGAAAGTTTCATGATACATTCCTGGTATCCGACATTTCATACAAGTTTTGTGATGATTGGCTAAAGTTAGGGAGTAAGATCCATCTGTGTGCTGAGCCACGCCCCCGTTAAAGTTCATTGGTCAGTATCTTCAAAAAGCAATGAGATATTAATAAGAGTTAAAATGCTGGCGATAAAATTCTGTAAATAATCGCACATCATTCTGCTGATTTCAGGTATGTTGTCAAATGTTTTGGTGACATTTGGTTGAAAATATGATGAAATAAAACACGTTGTGCGTACAGTACAAATTACAACAAGATAATGAACATCACTGTGAGCTAACCGTTAAACCCATCTGAACACCATTTGAAATGTGTCATCGAGTAGCCAAACAATGTTTGTGTCAATGGCGGTTGCATTTAGGTGAAGAATTCTGGAGATATAGATGTTAATGAATTTTGCATATTCTTAAAAATACACAGTGACAGACTTCTGAATTGACGATAGGTCACAGCATGGCAACATTTTGTCACAATTCAGTGGATGTGCTGAAAACTTTCAGCTGTGTCGGATACACTGGTGATTTATTATGATATTTTGAAATATGGAATGTGAATGTCTTGAAATTTATTTTTAACTTAATAAGCCACGCCCCCTTTAAGCAACAGTTTTCAATTCTTTTTTGCATCGACTGAGACATGACCCTTACTGATGCAAACCAAGTTTTGTAGAATATCTTTGGCTGATTATGAGATAGCAACTTTCAGCATGCGTAGCGCCCCCTATTGGTTGATTTTAATCAAACTTTCAGGGTATGATTCAGATACTTTTGTCTACATTTCCTACAAGTTTTCTGACAATTGGCTTAACGGTTAAGGAGTAAAATCCATTAATGTGCTGAGCCACGCCCCCTCTATAGTTCATTGGTCAATATCATCAAAACACAATAACTTATCTTGATATCTATGATGTCATGCTATTATTATTGCTAAAGCTCTGTGTCCTGACCGGAGACTACGGATGAAAATGAGCTTATAGCTAACTCTGGTGCAGCTAAGTAGCTGAGCACTGTCCCTGTTAAATAAATAAAATGAATAAATAAGTAAATATCAACAAGCTTTTGATGACCTTGGTCCGATGATGTTCCACAAAAAAACTGACACAAATCGGACCTACACCTCAGGAGATGTCCAAAATGTGTTTTTCAGAAAATTCAAAATGGTGAGGATATATTGAGCAGGACAGGTGTCCGAAATTAAATATATTGCCCTTTATTATAGCGCCCCCATCTGACTGATTAGCGTCATATTTGTTGAGCAAACAACTTCCACCCAGGTGAAAATTTCACGGGAAAAACATTTCTGAAGAAAAAACTTCAAACAAAAACAACAGGATTACTCAATTAACTGAAGAAAATGGATGATGGAAATAATCGTTGTCACTGATGACGATAAAAATGTCTCGTGGGAAACTTTAGTTTGCTGCAGATTCAGAACAGAAGAAGACGAGATGAACTATCAGCACCTCCTCCTTCTCTTCCTTCTCCTCCTCCGTTCTGAGCTCCACATCCTGACATTTAAACACCATCTACAAATCTTTTTCACAGTTTCCTGTCACCGCCCGGTTCACTGTCAAACCAGATGCAGCTGTAGTGCTGCGTTCAAGTACTCCTCTCCACAATCAGACAATCCAAAACTGCTCAGTACATTTACATCTCAGAGGGACACACTGTCCACTGCACAGTGTGGTGTTAGTACTTTGACTTCAGTTAAAGACCTGAACACGTCTGTGTCGTGTCACAGTGACTTTTCAGTTTCTGAAGACGTCACATTTTCACGAATCTCTGGTTTCACCTGAAGAAAGAAAAACAGTCCGCAGCTGTTGTTGCTCCTTCACGAGCCAGACGTCTTCTCCTTCACACCAAATACTTCTCTCATATCCAGCCTCATTAAAAGTTCACTGAGCGAAACAGACGGACCGCTTATTTGACTCTGGGTAGCGTCTCGCCGTGTTTGGACAGCTGAGCGCCTGAAACAGCCTGACTCAGACATATTTCAGGAGGGGCGGCAGATTTCCTGAGCGTGGACGTGATCAGGAGTCCTAAAGCTGCTTTTTATAGACTTTGTAAATCTTCTTTTTGTGTGTTGCATTAAATAAAAGAGACACTGGAACCTGCAGGAGCCAAAAACCCAACAAGTCCGCCTCAGAGAACTCCTCATGGAAAGACTCCGTCAGTCAGGGGAGGTATTTAATGCTCCCAAAACAAGATGAGACAACATTTAAAGTCATAATGCTGAACTCAGAACCAGGTCTTTACGTGGGACAGACTCGTATCAAAACCAAGTCTTTATGTGGGACAGGCTCGCATCAGAACCAGGTCTTTACATGGGACAGATTTGTATCAGAACCAGGTCTTTATGTGGGACAGACTTGCATCAGAACCAGGTCTTTATGTGGGACAGATTTGTATCAGAACCAGGTCTTTATGTGGGACAGACTTGCATCAGAACCAGGTCTTTATGTGGGACAGATTTGTATCAGAACCAGGTCTTTATGTGGGACAGACTTGCATCAGAACCAGGTCTTTATGTGGGACAGACTCACATCAGAACCAGGTCTTTATGTGTAACAGACTCATATCAGACCCAGGTCTTTATGTCAAAAAAACTGGCTTTTGAAGAGTGTGGATTGGTTTAGACCGGTCCATCTCTGGTCTCAGTCTTGTTTCAGTCGCAACCCACTCGAGACCTGATCCTGACTTTGGGGGACCTGGACTTGGCATGGACTTCTTGACTAAAGCCGTGGACCTACTCTAAATGAAGCATACCTGCTCTCAGGTTTAAGGTTCTCCACAGCGGTGTGAGTCTGGTTGGTGGTCAGGATGGAAACCTGCTCGCCGTCGGGTCCTTTAGTGGTGGAGATGACTTCATACTCTGAGGAGAGGACAACAAAGTCGAATCATCAGATACTACTGCCCACCAAAAATGAAGGACGGAAGACAGTTTGGACTACAAACTAAAAGAGCTTGCTAACATGAAAACTTATCTTCACAATGCAGAGATGTCTCAGCAAAAACAACCACTTTTCGTGGCACTATACCAGAAGTTACCCTGAAAACACTACATCTTCGTACCGGTTGTGTCATTGTCGGTTTTCTCCCAGTCCAGGATGACAAAGGATGGGCATCCTTCCACCGTCACCACGGTGAGATTGGATGGCGGAGACTTGGGTGGAGCTGTCACGTTCGCTTCGCCCGGTTCGTCTTCAGGAAAGTAGTTGAGGGAGGAGGTGATGGAGCAAGGCTCGTCTGGTTTCTTGCCTGTTTGGTAGACAACGTGAGGTGCTGTGGGAGGAGAGGGGCAGTTGTTAGTCAGGGTCAGGGTTCAGGAGTTCAGTACCCTGTGAAGGTTTTAAGCTTCATCTCGGCAGTGATAATTCTGTTACCAAAAACTATGACAAAGTATGCTCGTCAAAGATTATTTTCTTTGTCAAATAATCTGCTGGTTGTTTTCAGGAACAATCTTTTGGTCTATAAATGACAGCAAACTTCCCCGGAGCCCAAAGTGACGTCTTCAGGTTGCTTCTTTTGTCCAACCAAAACCCCCAAATTCTTCCAAGAAAATTAGAAAATTCTCACATTTAAAGATGTTTTTTAGTAAAATTGGGCGTTCTCTGTAGCAGACTCAAAAATTGGTGCAACATGACCAGAGACAACAGAGGATAAAGTCTGGTGGCATTTGCTTTTGCTTTTGAGGTAGAAAACCTGCAACCACCAATGGATAACATGTTTCCAATCATCGGGCGGATTTTCAGGAGATGATCGGGGAGATCTGGGAGCTGGTGCGACAAAGGGAGACTTACCACAGTTCATTTACACACACTGTCCACGTTGTTATGATACAGAGCTGGTTGAAAATCGGCAGAGTTTCCCTTTAAGAAGGAACCAACAAATGTTTGACATTTCTTTCCTCTGAAGCTCCAGCTGAATCGCAGCTGTAAAACTCACCCGTGTAACGTTTCTTGCCCAAGGCGTCGACGTCAGAGGCTGGCTGTGATTTAAACAGGTCCGAGTCCTCCCAGGTCTCCTGTCGAGTGGCTAAAGAAGGAAAAAAAAAAACAGATTTGACTTATGAGATAAATTTTCACCTTTCTGCCATGTGAGCCAAACACAAAGTTTTAATCTCCCGCAGGAACCAAACACAACACCAACATCTAGTTTTCTAACTGTTGTCGACATCCTCCCAAATTCAGCTCTTGACTTCACATTAAGAACTCGAGTGTGGTGAGGAAGACTGTTCCAGAGGATTACTGATACAAAGATGGTAAAATCAGGCAGTTATTAATATAACATGGTATCTCTGGGACTGGTCTGAACTGCCAAACAACAAGAGAGGTTGTTAAGTTTTTACCACAGACCAAAAATAGAAGCTCTTCCTGAACACATGGATTGGATAGACATGCCTTCAAATGTTGGCGATACGTACGCACCAGAACAAACGTTGGCACTGTCTGTTTCTGCGAACCATGGATACGTAACATTTGTACCTTATTATGACAGGAAATGCAACGAGATCTCAGTAAAAAAAAAAGTGATTTTTTGGCACTATTCTGAGAGTAAATGCAGCAATGTTTTGGTAAAAGATGGCATTTTTTTGGCACTATCATGGCAAGAAATGCAAAAACGTCACTTTTTGTGGCTGTATCTCTGGTGGAAACACGGAGACAGGTCAATTAAAAAACATCACTTGGTGTCTAAACAGCTGCTGGAAATGCAGGTTTGGTGTTTGTTGTTTGTTGGTGCTGAACAGTGATCTGCAGTTTGGCAGGTGTCACACCATCCACCACCACATTACAACAACCAGAGCAAAACAATTATCCAGCACAGTTTCATGAAATTTGCATCACAGGCTTCGGTTGCTTTAACTTGTCACTTTTTGACTTTATTTGTCGAGCAGTCATTTAAATCTAGATTCTGCTTCACAAGCAGGGAGATTTTGTCTCCTGAAGTTAACCCTGTCAGCCAGCATGCTAATACAAATAGCTCCTGTAGGAACTGAAGTGCAGGTCTTACTGGGGACTGCCGGTGCTGCAGTTGTGGTCTGCTTCCGGTCGAGTTTGGTCGGCTTGGCGGTTGCCGGCGGGACTTTGGGTTTCAGGATCGGCAGCTTGTCCGTCTGCTTAAAGTTATTGACTTTGTCTGATGGAAAATGTGTACAGAAACCACTGAGAAGAAAGAAATCTTCAGACATCACTGATCTCTTGTTGACTGGTGTTCAGCGCTCACCTGTTTCTCCAGGTTTCCCCGTCAGGTTTGGTTTCTTGTTGATGGGTATGGACGGGCGAGCCGGTGATCCTGGAACAAACATCAAACATCATCTTCACCTCTTCATCTATAAAAACATCTGAAACCACCTCTGCATTAGTGACGAATGATCTGAGGGTGTATTTAATGGAAAACACAGTCAACACAAAGTGCTGTCAGAGCTTTCTGAGGTGCTGCATGACGTCTCTCTGCTGTAAGTCAGACTCATGTTCCTCCTGCGGACACCTTCTGTCTAAATAAAACTCTGGATCTATTTTCTATTCTCTAATCTCCTGGAAAATCTGCCCTTTCCTCCAAACGTACAACTCAGTACACATTTCCAAATGAACCTGAAAACATGAACAATCCTGTGTAATTCCACGAGGTCGTGTGTGTTTTTCTAAAATCTGCCAAGGTCCAGAACCTGCAGCCAATTACTCCTCCCCACCCCCACCCCCCCGTCCTCCTCTTATTAAAGCAGAAGCCAAAATTCTTCACAATCAAGGAGTTGAGCCGCTTCCAAAACTAAATGGAAGAAATGCGAAGCCAGAAACATGAAAGATGATGGAGTCCTGAAACTTTTTAGCTCGTAACATGAAACAATAAAGACGCATTCTTTTCAATCAGGTCTGTGTAAATATGTATGAACGCGGAGAAGAAGCCAGACTGCCTGTGGTGCTTTGGTGAAGACTTTTTGAGCTCCCATTGTTCTTCGATGGTTAACAAACATGGACCCATTACAGAGCTGTAGAAAAGCAGTGTGTTCAGGCTGGAAAGTGATGGTGGAAACTGTAATTATATTCAGCAATGCTTCGTGATTACAGTTTGAGACTTAAGGAAATAAATATTGGTATGATTTTCTCTTTTCACACACAAACAGTCCCGCAATAAAGAGCAAACATTCAGATCTAAACTGCTCAATGCACGCCATGCTGTCCTGGAAGCGTGAGCGTTTCATAAACACAGCAACATGTCTGAAGCTTGTCGATGCTCGCAATCAAGCAACAAGCAGCAGCTGAAGCACGCTGAGCATTCGAAAAAAAACCTACAACAACTAGAAAAGCTCCAGTCCAGACCAGACGGCAGGTTCATCATAGGCTAATTACAAACAGCTCCTTCTTTCAACTTCTGCGGCGGGGAAAAAGCGCAAAGCTCTGCAAAGTAAGGTCCTTATAAAGTAAGCTAACGATCAGAGGAGCACATACTTTCCAGGCTCCACTGAAGCTTCTGGCCAAAGCTTTCCAGTTGACGGACGGTGTTTTTGTTGCCTCTGGACACTTAACACGACCAAACCATGCAGTGTTGGCGGCGTAGAGCAACTTAAGCGCCAGTCAGCACACGGCGAGATGCGAAATTCATGCCTGTACCAACCATAAAACTGCTCCTCAACGGTGGAACCCGAGCGGCCGAACACGTCAAGGAGCTCAGACTTCTTGTTCTCCGGCAGCGAGTTGTTGACTGCGGCAGGAGAAGTACTGCAGTTAAAACTGGGCTCAGTCCTTAAGACTCTTCTACCACACAACGCCGAGACACTGACATCACAGACTCGAGCTTTCCACTGTTTTACATTTTCATCACAAAGCCCAGGAAGTTCCTGTCAGAATGTTCTGGATCATGTTTACACACAAAAGACAACCGAAAACACCAAAAACCAGCTCACGCCGGCTGCACAGGACCACCATCAACACCATGACATGCACAATGTAGATCATCAGAATCAGAATCTGCAGCAGATAGGTTGACAAGTGTTGTTAGGTTTAGACACAAAAAGTACTTGGTTATGGTTTGGGAAAAATTGTGTGTGGGCTTAAGATACCCAAGATTAGTGGCTCAAACACCGTTGAGAAACTCTACATTGTGTTGGTCAAAAAACGCCCAGGATCGTTGGCCCAAACACTGCGAGAAAATGCTGTGATGTGTTGGTTAAAAAAAAGGTTTGGTATCACAAAGACCGAGACGTCTCTGTGAAAATGCCAAGGTTCAGTGTTTCATATGTTGCTGCGAAACACCGCAATGTGTCAGTAAAGAACACCTGGTTACAAACACCCTGATGTGTCGGTGAAAATGCCAAGGTTTAGTGGTTCAGAGTTGTTTTGGTAAAAAGTACCAGCATTCACTTGCACAAAAGTCAAAAATGCCCAGATTTGGTGCCACAAATGCTACTGGGTTATGCCGCTATGGGTCGGTTAAAAAAACGCCAGGTTTAGGAGCCACATATGCAGCGATGTGTTGGTGAAAACGCTCAGGGAAACACAGCGAAGGCTCACCAGCTTGGCAGGTGTAACGTATGTCTATTTACTATGTAACTTTAGAAATGCTGATATGATACGTATGTAGAAAAGTTTCCGCTGGCATTTTTGGGGAAATTTGGGACTTTTTGAAGTCAAAAACTTTCGGGGGGGGAAGACAAGAAAAAAGCACAGTGAACGACAAAAACATCGGTTTGTTTCCCAGATTTCAGGATTCTTGAAGTGAAAAAGTTTTCACACTAGTTGTTTCAGAAGCTTTAAGTTGCATTTCACTGTCTTCCTCCGAGGACAGAGTTCATCCAAAAGACAGAGAGGTGGAGTTTTAAGATCCAGAAAAAGAGTTCATGTTCTATTTTTGTCAAATTGTTTCCAAAGTAAAGAAACACAAAACTTAATGTATTTGTGTGTTGGTGGACCACACAGTGCTTAAAAGACAACTGAAGAATTGTGTAGTCCCTCACCCAAAGAGCCCCGGTAGGTCTCAGTAAAGACAACAACCCAAAACCCTGACATTCACCTCCACCACCTCCACCACACAGTGACATAATCTGCTTCTCCAACTGGACTTATGTAACCAACTCAAATAATCAAGCTCCAACATTCGTCTTGATTATTTGAACAAGTCTTTGCCAGAAGCTGAAAACCTGCAGAAGCTGGAGTGGAGACAAAAGGCAACATGGACGGACAGACCCAGGGACGGATGAATGAATGGATGAATGAATGGATGAACAGTCAAGTATTAATAAACACAATGGATGGAGACAAAAACATCAACATGAGCTGCAGTGGAGACGAAAATGCTGAGGAAGCGAGTGAAGGGTTAATGATGAAACACAAAAAGACAAACAAGGTCTTTTTTACCCAGTTGAGGTCGGGACCATAAGGCTGGTTTAGGAGGGGAAATGCCCCGGTGTGGCTGTCCGTTTACTGCGGGGAGAAAAGTGAGCGTTACGAGGGGAAGAAACTGTCTCTGAAAACTGAAGCCCACAGCCCAACAACCACCCGAGTCCTGAGGGAACATTTAGAGAGCACATATTCGTCTTTACGAGTCTGTCAGTGAAACCATCAGGAGATGGAAGAGATCTGCAGTCCGGCAACGTTTCTCCCAATTAATCAGAAGGAAATACAACTAAAACTGAGGAGGAGAGAAAACCACAGCTCAGTCACAAGAAGGAAATGTTGGCATTGTATGTTTCATACATATCATATCAACATTTATAAAGTGACGTAGCTTTTTTTTTTTTTTACCAAGACATCATTTCCTGCTGGGAAGTACAACAAAAAGTGATCATTTTTAACCGAGACATTGCTGCACTTCCTGTCGGGATAGTGCCACAAAAGATGGTTGTTTTTCACCAAGACATCGCTGCGTTTCCTGTTGGGATATTGCCAAAAAAAGTTGGGTTTTTTTTGTTTTTTTACTGAGACATTGCCGCATTTCCTGCCAAGACAATGCCACAAAATGCAGTTGTTCTTCTTACTGAGACATTGATGGCTTCTCCAGCAGTGACTGTTTTTTTTTAAGACAAAACATTAACTTTCTAATTCTACCCAAATGCTTTTTGTGCATGAACCTAACCACACATTAACCCCAACGTTGTTGAAACATGAAGTCTCAACACACCTGATATATAATGCTGTACAAATGTAACAGTGGTTTGCAGAAATGTTCAATGCCAACATTTTTTTCTGGTGACTGGATGGAATCCACTGATTGTTTATCAAATTACGGTGACAATGGATTTGTCCTTTTGAGGACTGTATTGCAGTTTCCCCCGAACTCCCCAAACAAACGTCTTATCAGCAGAGTTTCAAAACATAAACAGGAAGCTGGTTCGTCAGTGGAAACCTCATCCCATTATCAGATTTTTCTCAGATATTAACAAAAATTTCCAAATTTAAACTCACTGTCTTTGAGATAGAATTGGGTTTATTTTCTGTACCTTCAAATTTTTGGTAAAGAAGTTTAAAGTGGACTCGTCTGGTTGTTCAGCTGTCGGGTTCATTTAGCAGGACACATTTAAAATCAAGTCAGCAAACAAAAAGTCAAAACCAGAACGTTAAAGTGTTGAAAACAGCCGTGAAACACAGTGTAAAGTCAAGTTGTTGGGAGTTTCTTTCCTTTGAAATGAAAAGAACAGTGCAGTGAATCATTAAACACAGATCCAGTGATGTCAGCATCAAAAACAAACCTAAACCCCCAAAGACAGCAGCTTCACCTGAACGTCTACCAGCAGCAGCCAATCACAACCTGACCAATCAATGTTTCATCGGCGGCTCAAGAGCTGACCCCCCCCACCCCTCCCGTGATGATGATGTCTGTGCTCTGCAGAGGCTGGTAGGCATCAGGAGGAAAGTTCTGATCAGTTGTTCTGATCATTTATTCTGGATTACATTTAGGAGCCTAGATTATTCAGTTTAGTAATCCGAGGGCACAAATCCTTAATTAAGGGTGTTATGGGGTCAAATCAGCTGATTTAAACATTTAAAATGGTGAAAATTGGCAGCGAATCCAATTCATCCCAATGCAAGTGGATTGATAACTGACTGTTAGCATTCTTGTTAGCTTGGTTTGTTTCATTGTCCTTTTTAAGTGTGTTTTTATCGACCTAAATGATGCGTACCAAACAATAAAATTTCGTTGTGGTGTTAAAATCAAAATTGACCAAACTTGGATTTTAACTTCTACATGATTGGTAATGTAGAGGTTGTTTTCTACCGAGACATTGCTACATTTCCTGTCGGGATAGTGCCACAAAATAGTGATTTACAGATCCATAAAACAAAGAGTAATTAATAAATAATTTGAGGGCACAAAGTCAATGTTTTCCTTCTGACACTAACAGGCTCTGCAGGTTTCAGTAACAAGGGCTCAATAGTCTCAGAGGAAAAGAACCTAAAGATGACAAAAAGTTAAGAAAAGTTAAGAAAGAGGTACAAGGAGGATTACCCCCGAGTATCCCAGAGGTCGGGGATGAGTTACTGGGTCTAGAGGAGGAGTGTGTCTGTCTGAGGCCGTTAGAGAGGGGAAAGAGGGGATTTCTTGATGCAGGCCTCATGGATCTGCCAACCGTGGTAGCTGACGGGTTGTAGGGCTGCAAAGGCAGTCGTGGAGACAGATTTCTTTTGCTGCTTTGACCTAAAAGATCAAAAACAATTGCAGGTCCTTTGTTACAGTCTGATCTTTACTGAAGTTGCCAGTTACAGCGAGCTTGCAGCAGACCTGAGCGGTGATGTTAGTGATGGAAGTTTTTACACTAACGGACCATTAAATTCAATAACTATGGGGTTATGAGAGCGCTCACAATCTTGGGAAATGACAGTCATTGAAGCTGCTGAGTTTTGATGACCATGACTGTAAGATTGTGCGCCGCATGCAGACACCGGAGGCTGCGGTGGGTGAAATGTGTTTGAATGGTGCGACTCCTGCAGCGAGCAGCCACTTCCTGTGGACAAAAATTTTATCTGGAAGCTCGAGGCAACAAGATGGGAACAGCATACAGAAAGAGCAAGACTGCCTCTGATTGCAAGACAAAGGGAGCGTTTGATGAGGTCATCATTACCCCATCTGTTAGAATTGGCTCTCTCATTGGCCAGAGCTGATCTCAGCAGCGACGATCCGTCCTGTGATTTGCCGAAAGCTGTGTGGGAAAGAGAAGGTTAGGCACACAGATGGTCCACAACCTGTCGAAGTAAAATTTATTATTTGAACAACGACAGCCTCGAAGTTCATTGATAAAGTGTTGAAAGCAGATTCAGAAGTCAAACTGTTTGCAGATGACGCTCTAATTTACATGTCGGTCCTACAGGAAGTCCATTGCTTCTTATTTCACTCAGTGGTACAAACAGAAGGTATGATGGGAAATTGAGGCATGAAGGAGAAAATTACTGCCTACAGTTTTCCAAATGAAAGTTTAGTTGGATTTTAATTGGAGATTCCCCAGGTGAATGGGGTAAAATTTTTAAGTAACAGATGTCTCCAGGAAACTTCCTCAGTTGATAACTTACAGTAAGACAATTATTTAATCTATATTAGTAGTTTTCTGAAATTTTAGGTTTAAATATGCAAATTAAGCATTTGGTAATTAAATATGAGCTAATTTGCAGATATCTCCATAACAGAAATCCGAACATTGGACAAAGTGTGGATCAAAAGTCTTCTTTCATTTTGTTTTCATATTTTAGTAAAATGTTTTAACATAGGGATTTGTGGATATCTGTATTTATCACTCCATAAATCAGAAAATACTGTCAATAGCCATAAATTAATACATTTTTGCCATGTTTTTAGGAATGAAAAGTTCTATAAATCAGGCTGTGAATGCAAACCCCTCTGTTTAACTCTTTAGAATATAGACAGGATGAAAACTGGAAAATTTGCTGAATATAAGAGCCACTGAGGTGGAGATTTATCACTCATTGCTTGAGAAAAAAAATCATTTAGAGAAAACAAATTTTAAAGATACATTTTGTAAAGATTTAATAGATATTACCAGAGCTGCCCCGTACTAAGAATTTCCTCAGTCATTTAGGGCCATTAAACATTAAACATGAAACATGTTTAATGTTTAATGGCCTAATGGCCTAAATTTGACAATGATGACGATATTAATTTAATTATTAAATTATGTATTTTTGGCAGGGCAACACAATGGTTTGAGTTGAATGTCTTAGAAAGAATGGTTACTATAATAGGGGTTTGCTTATGTATCATTCCCAGCCTGTATTATAGAACTTTTTATTCCTAAAAACACTGCAAAAATTGATTTTTATGACTGATTGTTTTCTGATTTATGGAGTGATAAAAAGAGATATCCAAAATTCCCTTTGTAACAAACTTTTGATCCAGGCTTTGTCCTGTTTTTTAGATTCTAGATTTTTATTCTCAAACTGTCTGTAAATTGATGCATTTGTAACTAGATTGTGTCTTATTTGTGTATTTAAACATACAATTTTAGAATACTTGTAATACAAAAAATACTCATCCTAATATGAGTAATCAAGTGGGGAAGTTTCATAGTGATATCTGTTAGTCAAGACTGAGCTGGGTGGAGCAGCAGCTATTCTGCGATATCTGTTAGTTAAAAATGTTACCCTATTCACCTGTAGTGTCTCCACTTTAAGTAACAAACACAGATCCAGCCACAAACCTTTAAAGAAGTACAAAAACAAGACATCCTGAGCCTTGGAGGTTGGGACATGACCAAAGTCAACTTTCCCAAAAAAGGAAAAAAAAAAAAGGTTTGCTTTTTGAGAGCTCCAAAACACAAAACAGTCAAGTCAACAAATACTGTCGAAGCCTGGTTACAATGTGGTGGGGCTCATTTGACAAGGATTCGTCCATTGTTTTATTTTTGTCTAAAAACAACTATTTTTTCTATTTTTTTTTTTTTTTTGTGATAAAACCAAAACTTTCAAACACCATGAATACTTCATGGACACTGGAAGGTTTGACTGTTTGTAATTCGCCCTAAAAGTGTAACTGTTTGCAGACGATACTCTTTTTTCCACAGGGGTCACAAAGAGAGATTTCAGCAGCATTTCTTTAAATATCACATTTTTGTTTTTCATCTGCAGCTGCTTTACAGCACAGTTAAAACCACAAACTGATTTTCATCAAGATTCAACCCCAGTTTTCCAAACATGGCAAATATTTCACAGAAATCAGAATAAAAAAAGGGAAGTTGGGAGGTGGAAATTACCAGCAGGGTTATCAGGTGTCTCGGGTGCATGAGAGGGCGCCTTAGTAGTCTGCCCCTGAAGTAAGCCGCCATTGGAGGGTAATTTAAGGAGGGGTGTGGTGTTGGCGGGGGGGGCTTTGGTGGGCAGGAGTTGGGGGAAGGCAGGAAGTCGATCCACTGGTCGGTCGGTGTCATTTTTAACAGCGTTTCCTTCGTCTGGGGCAAGAGAGTAGAGCAGTACCGTGATCATGGGATCGTCTTCTGATGTTTGTTTTGGGTTCACGGTGGATTTGTTGTGTTTCAATTATCAGACACGCATTTTGATTCATGTCATCATCTCCTGCACTCGAGGAGAAATGACAGTCACCAGATACATGTCTCTGACAAACTTTCAAGTAGGACAGGGTATTGACCCTGATACTTTTTTGATTAAAACCTAAACTCAAATTCTGCCAACATTAGAGAGTATAGTTTTTAGGAAAAGTACTTGTTTATATCCCACAAGGTAAGGCTTTTAAAAAACATCATCTCAGTAGAAGTTCTAGTTTGAAACCCAGCCCTACTTTCAAACGAGGTTTCCAATCAGTAGACAAACATCCAAAAGATTCAGTGTCAGTCCCATGATCATGTACCTCATAGAAATACAGAAAAGTCCAGAAGACATTGCACATGTGATGAGACAGACAGGAAGAGGACAGTGTAAGGAGATTGCAGAACGACTTGGGTTGTCTTTCCAGGGTGGGAAAATCCAACCACGTCTGCGTCTGAACTGACTGACATGCAGACTGAACATGGAAATGACTTTATAAGGCAACCACAGGAAGGACTGGAAACAGATGGACAGACGCAAAGACAGATATGTGAATGATCTATAAATCTATGATAATGGCTTTACCTTAAGTTCTTAAGTTCTAAATTACCTGAGTTCTTCTTTACTAGGCCTTGGTACATCTGTGCACTGTAAGTATTAGCCTCTTAAACTCGGTTGGACAAGTCACCAGCTCCTGTTTGTTGTGCTGAGCGTTGCTCAAGTCCATTTAACCTAATTTTAAATTCTACTGGAGAACCCAGACTTTCCAAAGATACTTCATGGCACCTGGGAAACTTGGGAATTGGGAAAACTGTTGGTGGAATGTTTATGATATCTACAATTTATTGTGGAAACAAAAGTTTAGATGGTTAAAACTTGCAGAATGTTTAATCATTTAAAAAAAAAAAAAATCCAAAAAATAAAATAAAATAAAAACTGATCAGTGTCAAGTAATAACAACGTTTCTTGTTTGAACAAAATGGGGGTTTTTTTTGCAAGATTTTTTCATCTTTAAAAAAGAAAAGTTTCATGTTAGAACAATATTGTTTTTCTATTTGATAACAAAAAACCTTTAGTGTTATAACAATTATTTCATTTATGAAGTTACAATGTGAAATGTTTCTTATAACAACATTTGTCTTATATTTTTAAAAAATGTTTTCATGGTATAACAAAATATTTTTATGTTAGAAGTTATACTGTGAAACTATCTTGTAAAAAGCAAAGAAAAAAAATATATGTATATATTAAATAAAGCTTTTCTGCCAAAAAAAATTATAACAAGAAACATTTCTTGTGGGAAAAAAAAGAAACTTTTCATGCTATAACAATTTACTTATTTATCTTGTTACAAGATGAAAAGTTTCTTGTTATAAGAAGAAAATGTTCTCATTGTAAAAACATATTTTTACAAAATGATGTCATAAAAAGAAACTTTTCTTGTGTTAACAACAAGATTATCTCATACCATGAAAATATGAAAAACATCTTGTAGTAACAGGATTTTTTTTTAATGTTATTACCTGATCTTGAACCAACGTAAGAACAGCAGCTACTTATATCAGGAAAAATATATATTTTTACATTAATGTTTAATCCCAAGGTATTCTGTTAACCTCTTAAACTCTACTGGACCAATCACATGCTCCTGTTGTTCGGCTGAATGCTGCCAAAATTCAGGGAACCTAATTAAATTGATTAATTATGAAAATCATTTCAGAGTAAAAACTATTAAACATTTTATATTTCTACGTGTTTAAAGGGTCTACAGAACCAAAGCCAGAACAACAGCTACTTGTATACTGATAAAAAATATTTTACATAAATATTTAATCCAAAAATATTCAGTTAATCTCCTGTTGTATAGATGTATGCTGCCAAAATGCAGTGAACCTTATTCACTTGATTCATTTTGAGAATCTTTGGTTTCAGAAGTTAAACTATTTTTTTTCCCCACAATCATCCAGGAACTCACCAACTGGCCTTACAGGTGATGATGACACCTTTTTCTGAAGGACTTCTGATTTAATTTTTCTGATTGAGAGCATAGCCAGGTTTTGGAAATGTTTTGAAGCTAAGTGCTGTTAACCGTTTAACAAAAACCCTGAAGTTTGAGGACATATTTAAAGCGACAGTAACACAAGAAGGCTGAAAGAAGAAAAGCAGAAGAAGAAAACTGATGGCTTCAGATGCACAAACGAAGTATCATCGAAGCATCGCTAGCAGCGCAGTACTTCAAAACAACTAGCTATGGCAACGCACAGGGTGGGCGGGGGCAAAGTGAACTTACTCGTACCACTTGACCTCCGGCGACATCACCTCCACGCCTCGTATCATCTTTCTAAACCGGCCTTAGGCATGCTAGCATGCAGCCAATCACAACAGCTGCACGTCCCACAGGCCCCACCCCCTCCCAGGCGCATCAGGGAGCTCAGCGGAAACAGGTGAAGACAGGATAAAGCTGATTTATGGTTAACAAAATAAAAGTCTTTCTTGTTACCGAGTGACACATGAGGCCATTTAGGCTCGGTGGAGCCGGGCGGAGGTAAAGTTTCCTGTCGACTCTCAGGTGGTGCTGCAGAAGTAATGTGTTTACAGGAAGTGAATGTCAAAGTTAAAGTGGTGAAAGGATAGAAATGTAAAATAATGGGTTTGAAAGAAGCAGCTTCAGACGCGGGGTTTGACTGATCGCAGTGTTGAACAAACTTTATTGCAACGTCTGTTCCTGACAAACACTGAAGAGGTGATCTGTTGGTTCTAGAACTTTATGTCGAAGTTGATTTTGATTATCGCAGTGAAAAATAATGAAACATTAAGACGATAATAAAGTCCCAACGTCCTCAAACGAGATATAATCCACCACCGCTACTTTTGTTATTCTAACTCCAGAAAGTGGCTTAAAAAAAGTAACCTAAATGTGTCGGTCATCGTATGTTATGATCAATGTGAGATTTGTTTTCTGAGTTTCCGAGCATTTGATCAACAGGAAGCGGACAAAAACCCAAAGCTAAAATCAATAAATTAAATTTAGACAAACCTATTTTTCATGGATCGATCGCTCACTTTCAGTTTGTCACGAACAAAACGTTTCATATCGATCAGTCGAAACCTGGCGGGAAGCTGCTGAGGTCAAAGCGTCTCTGTGGGAAAATAAAAAGTGATAATCACCAAAAGAAGTGCGGGGAGCTCCGGGGAAAGCTGAGGTTTTGAGCAGAGGAGAGAGGCGGGTCCTGTTGTGAAGAGCTGTGACACAAAATCATCACAGGAAGTGAAAACACCTGTTAGTCTTCAAACGATTAAAGTGCAAGGTCGTGTTTTTTATAGACGAAAAAAGTTTTCTCTCATACTCAAAGTGTCGTAATAATTTAGATTTCATTGAAAATGTTCTTTTTTTGTTTCTTAATTTGTGTTCTTGTAAATAAAAACTTGTTTACCTTTAATTAATCCTTAATGTATTGATTTGTGCCTGAAAAGACCTTTAACTTTAATCTAAATTAAGATGTTTGTGATTTCTTTATTTGTTCTTTATTCACAAAACCCCTTAAAATCTTGAAAAAGTTTTTTAATAACAAATTTAGTCGTTTTTCTTTTAAAATTTCATTTGAATATTTTACATTCTTGTTATATCAACTGTTTCATTATCACAAGTATTATTTATTTATTTTTGTCATTTAACCTGTATGTTTGTTTTGTGTCTGAGGAAACCAGATGTTGCATCTCAAATTCTCAAATGTAACATTTTCAATCCAGTAAAAGTCAGTTTAAAGTGAATGTTATTTCAGGATGAAATTATCTTTTCAGCTGAACATTAATGAGCTTTTAAGCGATTTGTAATAAGTTATATATATTACTGATGTTTTCTGTGAGTTGAAAAACTTAAATCTTATCATAAATCTAATTAGTCATTTTAATTACTATACTTTTTAGACATTTTACTGATATTTTTCAGATTTTCATGAATATTTTTCAGATATCCAACATATTTTTTAGTCATTTTACTAACCCACGTCACTAAATTTTTAAAAAAATATATTTTTCATATTATTTCGAACGTTTAAAATTTCTTTTTTACTTTTTACTAAAATTTTTCAGACTTTTTTTCACTATTTTTTGGGTTAAAATTTAGAAATATTTTTCAGATATTTAACCCTTTTTTATAGACATTTTACTAATACTTTTTCAGATATCTTACTAATATTTATCAAACTTTGTACACATTTTTCAGACATTTTACTAATATTTTCTTCTTCTTTTTTTTTTTTTTTTTACATATTTTTGAGACTTTACAAGTATTTTTTGAACATTTTACTTTTTAAAGTTTTAATTTGTTTCTTAGAAGCTCCTCCTGTGTCACAATCACTGATACTTTTGGAGTGCAATTGCTACTGAACACATACAAAAAACATGAAGATTTGCAGCTTTTCTTTCTTTTCTTTTTTAAATCAAACTGTAATTTAAATGTCTTTGGGGTTATTTTGGAAACTTGATAACAAAGAAGACTCACTGTGTCCTCTGTGTCTGTCACATCTTAAATTATGAAACAAATCATTAAATTAATTGATACTGATCCTAAAACCAAACACTCATTTTTCTTCTCTGCGTTTATGTGAAACATTTTTGGACTTGATGTTTGATGCAGATATTTTATAACCAGCCTGAACATGAAAGATGTTTTTATGATGATGAGGTTCAATTAAAAAGATTCCTCCAATAACGTGAAGCAGAAATAACGAGTGAGAGACAGCAGCAGCAGAGACACTGCCTCAACTCGTTCAGTTCTTAACACCAGTACCACATTTAAAGGATCTCAGGTCTTACCGGGGCGAGGAGGGAAGAGGGTGTGAGGACCGAGAGGTTTCTGAAAACACACAAAACATTCACTCAGATTAAAACTTCAACAAAACTATAAGTCCCAGAGTGCACTGCTGCAAAACATCTAATCTGATCAAACGGCTTCACATTTTGCCGTCAGGAGGCCAATCATAGAATAAATTTTGGATCAGTTTATGAGTATTGGTGCAGCTCTGTGAAGGCCACTGAGGCTCATGGGTAATGTAGTATTAACCCTTAGAACTCTGCCATAAATACGGTCCACCTGGGCATACGCTGGTGTTTTTGGTTATTGAAACGTCATAAATTCGGGTCAAAGTCTGTGGTTGTTGAACCCATCCACCACCCCTCCTGTCCACCCTACTCAGCCTGTTGTTGCCTTGACTTTCCGCCTTTTCCCCCTGACACTGCAAAGTGCCTTTAAACTATCACACCGGGTGGCCGCATCCCATGCTGATGTTAAATATCTGCCCAAGCGCCGGATTTTGACGATGCAGACAACGTGATGGTGTGAAAGACAGAAGTCTTATCTCTCTGTTGCAGAAAGAATGAATGCTCCACCTCTGATAGTTTTTTATTTTAGACCAATTTTAAACAGGACCCGCTGCCTGCAGGAGCTCCATTTTCAGGTGTTACACATTAAAGATGAGACAACAAATCAATATTCAGGTAGAAATTATTCGTATTTGATTGGAGTTCTTGGCAGAGAGGCTGCTGGTAGTTACATTCACTTTCTATGAGTAATTAAACAGAAGGTTACGTACCAGCGGCTTAGCAAGAGGGTTACGCAGCTTGTATGGCTTCTGTGTGTTTTTATCTGAAATATAAGGATGAAGATCAGAGACACAGCAGAAAGGTCAGGATGTTAACGACACCTTTATGTAACCACGACTGTAATCTATAAAAACTGTCCGTCAAAATCAAGACAACAAAGATGGCGTCCTTACTGCCCATGTTGGTGTTGTGGATAATCGGTTTGCTCCACATCCCGCTGCGGTCGTCCTTGTTGGACCGGACGCCAAACTCGTAAGGCGTGTTGGGTTTCAGGTTGTCGACCACTGTGTCGCTGGTTGGGCAGGTCTGATAGATCCACTTCCTGTTCCTCTCCCTGTAGCGAATGGTGTAGAACCTGAAAAGAAAGCCACAGTTAGTCTGCTTTTACCTGCTTCAGTTCAGCTTTACTTTAGCTGTGGGGTTCCTCAGGGTTCGATTGTTGACATGTAATATATGTGTCTATAAACCATCAGACAGGTTCTCCAAAACAACATAAAGAGCCAGAGCTTTTAAAAGAACCCAGATGCTGTTTTCTGGTCTAAAAACTCGAAGGTTTGGCAATTTTCAGGCAGCAACATTACCTAAAGTTGCATTCATTGATTGTTTTTGGTCGACTGGAGGCAACAGAACAACCTCACAATCTAAAAAAAGCAGTTGATGCTAACATGTTACTGACTTCCACATCCATCATGCGTCTGTTATGACTCGTGGGGTTCCTCAGGGTTCACTTCTGGTTCCTTTATATTTTTAGTTTACATGCTATTATGTAATTTATGTGTCTATAAATTGTCCCAAGTCTTTTACAAGAACCCAAAATGATACCTCGAAGGTTAATTTAAGCTGCGTCAAGTGATGGTTTTCAGTAATGACCAAAAGTCAGTCTCATGTCGGTGTTGGCAGAAAATGCGCCAGGGTACACTGTCTGTTTTTGGTAGATGATGAAAAGTTTCACTGGATGAGTGAAGACTTGCAGGTGGTTCTACGAGATAGGATCACAAAAGTCATTGGAGTTAATCATCTGGGGAACATGAACGTCTGAACCAAAGTTCCTGACAGTAGTTGTTGAGATATATCAGACTGGACCAACGTACAGTGCCATAAAAAGAGTCACACTGTTAAAAAATGTCCTCGTGTGGCGATGGAGTCAAAGACAGACCGGAGTGAGACACCTCATCATGATGAAGCTGCTTAATGGCCCAAAACTGAAGACAGCTCCTGGAACTCCAAAGAAAAATGAGTTCATCAAAGTTTCCTCGACCAGAAAACCGCCTCCACATGGTTCGTTGACTTCAAGCGCTCGCTCAACAGCTTCCCCCAGTCGCTGTTGTTACTTCTGGCCGGCGGCTCTCCACTTTCACTCCATCATGTAGTGTTTTTCAGACCCAAAGAATCTGAGGCGGCAGCCAAGACATTAGCTTTTAATAAGACGTGTAATAAGAGTGGCGGGGGATGCCTGGGTCAAGCTTTCCGACAGCTTCTCCAACTTGTTCGACAAAAGAGAAAAAAACAGGATTATTGGAGGCAGGAGAGCTGATGGAAAAGAGTCGGCCGGTGTAACATCAGTCAACACAGCAGCAGAGTTTGAGGACTTTAAATCGAACTGGTCATCACAGAGTCAAACTTTAGAGTCAGGACTTCCTCCAAGCTCGTAAAACACATGAAAGGATGTTTCATGTTCACGTCGTCTCAAACAGATTTGATGTGGAACATCTGTGAGATTCCTTCAGATGAAGGTGGCTCTGTTGTTTCATGTTTCACCACACGGCAGGTCAAACTGTCTCCGTCATCACTAACAGATCCGTTTTCTTTTATTTTTGGACGAAGTCTGAAGACAGCAGTGTCTCAAACTGACAAAGTGTCGTCACAGAGATCTTTTGTCTCTGAATTATCACGTATCGGGGATAATTACTGTGGTGGGTTCTTCATCACTATGAGGCTATTTTTTATTTATATTTGCAACAATCTGATCTCGTAACTTTCAGATATTTTTTCATAAATGCGACAATATGAATCACAGTTATTGGGAACTCTGAACTGTGACAATGGAATCTCGTAACTATACTGTTTTTTGTAATTACAATGTTTAGATTTTGTAATTAAAACATATTCTCGTCATCGTGACATTGAGTTTTATGTATTTCATGTCATTTGCGTGGCGTCCATCGCACAGTCCTGTGGGACTTTGCATCTAATCACGTCTTAATATCGACGTATATGTAACTCATGTGTGAATTGTTCTATTCACGCCCAGTGTGAATGCAACTCACGAGTTATTTTCCACTAAAATTAAATACTATTAGAAAATTAAGATTTTGTTTTTGTGATCATAACAAACAAATCACAAGCTCAATTTTCTGAATTTGCAACAATCAGATCTTTAACCGTACGATTGTTTCCTGTTATCACAAGTTCTTTACTAGTTAATTATGCAGATATAAATATGTAATTAACTTCTAATCACGATATTATGACGTGATATCCTCTCACCCGTCCTCCAGACACTCGTTCATGATGTTCCCCTCGTACGGCGTCTTCAGGTAGTTCCCCCAGGACAGCAGCACCGCCGTCGGGCTGACAGAGCCGATCACCAGGTGGAGCGGCTTCTCCAGGTTCACCTTCCCTGTGCACACAGGTGAGGACAGCGTGAGACATCAGGCTACGTATGAAACCACAAACAGGAAGTGGTCAGCGTACCTGTACAGTGTTTCTTCACGTCGTTGGCGGGGATCGGCTGGACGGCCACCAGGTACTTCGGCTCAGCGTCTGGAACAGAACGTAATTTGTTTTGAGTTCATCTTCAGGGTGAATTCATGAGGTTGATCAGAAGAACAGAGGAGACGCACAGCAGAGAAAATTATATCTGATCTTTAATCTCACTTTGACGGTTTAAAGTCGACACCACGAGTCACAGGTTAAATCCCCGAGTTTGTGTCTTTGAGCTCTGAACAAAAACTGTTTGTTATGTTTCATTACCAGGTGGGACTCGACTGAAAACTTCGGATCAGATTGTTCACCTTTATGCTTCCTGTTTCCTGTCGTCACTCACTGAATGTTTGTTGTTGTTTACAGTGTTTATTTGTTTGTTGTCCCGTCACGGGCCGGTCTTCAGTCTAAACTTCAGGGCTGAAACTGAACCTAAGCTCTTTACCCTGAAAACAAACTCATTCATTCACCACCTGCTCTTCAAAGCTTCGTACGCTGACAGGTGGAAACATGCCCCGCCCCCCTCTGCTTCCCCCTGCTGACCTCATCCATCACCTGTGAACACCTGAGGTCACCTGAGGTCAGGAACAGAAGCTGTTTGTCTCAGATAATCCTGAATCCTCAGCTGCTGTTTGTCCTGAAGGTCAGGAGGGTTCAACGCCATCAACGGGCGGTTTGTTCCAACGTGTCCTTCAGCTTCAGTTTGGGTTCGTCTCTTTAAACCTCATCTACTGTGAGGGTTTCACTTTCCTCCCGTCCAGAGTTTTGTCCTGTTCTCATTTTTTTATCAATTATTCTGATCTTTTTTTTTATGTCTTTTTATTTATTTTTTGTTATTTTTGTTTGTTCATTTCAACTTTTCTTTTCTTTGAAAGCAGAAGAACAGATAATTTTGTGAGAACGCCGTCTTGTAACAGAGGAACATGAGAAGCAGAGGAAATTGAATTATTGAGTCTCATGTGGCTAAAAACCAAAAACCCAGTCGGATTTAAAGAGTCAACACTGCGGTCGTCCTCCTCTCCCAGCTGCTGATGGATGGAGGGCTTTTAACCAGGAAGGTAAACACCACACGAATGCCGCAGGACCGCCCACACGCTTTCTCTGACAGGTGACCTCGGGGCAGAAAGAGCAGCCACAGATGAGAGATGGAAATGAAACGTCTCACAGTGGAGCTCAAACTTCCTCCCAAACTAAACTGTGTGTATCATTTACCTTCTGACTTTCACTGACTCACAGAAAGTAAATGGAAGTGCAGCACTTGAACACACCGCACGGTGCCAAAACAACAACACGATGGAAACTCAACATTTGACTTATTGAAATAAAATATCAGTCGATGTTTGGGGTGTTGGTGATACGTCCACCAAACCTCAGCCAAAATATGGTCATTTTTAAACACAATGCTCACATTTTTTAGGGATTTATAGAAAAACAAAATAGAAAGAAACATTTTCACGATAAAAACTGTGAATGTTTAAATGTGGGCACTGGGACAGAGCCTCTTTAACGTCATCAGAGAGAATTCAAAGTCATCCAGACGACTGCCACCAAACCGCAGCCAAAATATGGAGGTTTTAAATTTGGAGAAAAGCTGATGGTGTGAGGAAAAACATCCAAAATACAAAAAATAAAGGTCATTTGGGTAAAGGTGACCTGTCCACCAAACCTCAGCCACATTTTGGACGATATTAAGCATCATGAAAAGCTGATGTCCCCCCACTCTCATCACAAAAGGAAAAGATTTACCTCCAAAATCTGCAAAGTGCAAACAAATCAGCCTCCAGTGTTGAAGGACGACTTTCAGCAGGTTTGCTGTTAACCCCCTCTGCTGATACGCTCCCTTAAACACATCACATGTCGAAGCTTTTCACGTTTTTTCTCCTCTGATGGGATAAAGATTGCTGGCCGGCCTTCAGAAACAGGATCAGAACCACCTGCTGCTTCTCAAAGCTTCTCACGTTCTGGTTTTCCCAAAAGTATTTCTGCAGAAACTCAGCGCTTCCCACGAGTCTGATGGCTCAGCGTTCACATACACAGAAACTCAACCTGCAGTCCCACAGCGACACAGAGGGCTTCAGAAATGAAAATCTTTCAATAGGTCCTGCACAAACTGACGCTCGTGTTTATAAATCAGTCTATTATCTACTTAAAGAAATTGAGTGTAAAATACAGAAAACATCTGGTCCCAACATCTGCTGTTGGCAGTCCGACCCAAAAACTAAACCCTGACTGCAAAATGCTTCAGATGTGTTCGGTGGAGAGATGTAACTCAAGATGTGTCCACCAGACTCCAGCCACATTTTGGTAGATTTTAATTTCTTTAATCACGCAAAGTTTGTGTCTTCACCTTCTAGCCGGGCTTCTCACAGTTGTATAGATTACAGGTATGGAAGCTCAGAGGGGACTTTTCCCTAAAATTTATTGGACAAATTACCAGATTTAATAAAATATAATGAAACACTGAAACAAATATACAAACACATACATTTTGATAATATTAAAATTGAAAGATATGTCCTCTCCAGGCTTCCATAGAGACCTGTCCCCGTCCTCATCCCGTCTTACCCATCTCAGTCTCGTACGGTTGTCCGTTCTCAGGCAGCTGGATGAACTGTTTGGAGAACATGCTGCTGCCGTAACCCAGGATATAACCCTCCAGCTTCACGTCCGGACTCGGACGCACAAACTTCATCACGATGGTGTCGCCAGTGGCGTTGATCCGAACCTTCATGTTCTGACGCCGCACTGAGGAGGAGGAGAAGATAAATAAGAACAATATGGATGAAGATGAAATCAAATTATAAGAAGTCGTGTGAAACATTGGACCAGCGTTAAAACACAGGAACAATATAAAAGTGCAGTAGCTGAAATATTGAAGGTTGTGTTTGTTTCTTTGAGAAGAGAAAAGCTGCTGATCAGTAAATGTGTCCAGCGTCTGTATGTGTTCTCCGTCAGTCTCAAGGAACACTCCGTTCTGATGAACCACTCTTTGATTTCATTTCATGCTGACATGAATGTCTCATTCAGAAACCAAACCCTCCATATTACTTTTTATGATTTCCCTTGGGGCCAATGGACCAGCAGGTAATGAACATCGTCCTGACCTCTGAGTTCAAACCAAACGTCACGGTCGACTGTTAAACGAGTACAAAATGTTTCAGGAACTATAAACCTTTTTGTTTTTTCAGGACTCAGGAACAGAAAACCACCAGTTTAACTTTATTACTGAGAGACTTTAAAAAACTCAAAAGTTGCAACCTTTTGTTCATCACTCAAAAAATCTGAAGTCACAAACATGAAACAAATATTTTTCTCTGATGTCTATCCAGAGGTTCACTGAAATAAGGAGCTGCTAACAGCTAATTCAGTTCATGGAAACTACCAAAGGCTTCCTGTTTACATCCACCAAAGCATCGTGGGAACTGTATTTATAAAACTTAAGAGCATGACTACACCCAAACAGACTTTAGACGAAACACAAAAATCAAATAACAAAAGACCTTTACTGAGATGTTCTGCTGCAGGTACAACTGATGTACGGAGCCCCAGAAGTCCCAAAAATCTTCATAACAGAGAGGTGTCTTTGATTTTTGCTTTTCTTTTCTCGCTTATTGATTCAGGCAAACTGCATTTTTCACATGTTTTACTCAGACATTCTGCTGAAGTGACGTGAGATCATACAGGAGCCCAGAACTCCTGAAAAAGTCTTACATAGATGAACTCAGAACTTTAGGTACTGGATAATATCTGGTGCACAACATGTCAATGTTATAGAGTGGTTTTCCTCGCACATCTGCATCTGGAGGCTCCCAAGATGAGATCTATTTAAAAACGCTGTCTGCATGTTAAACTAGGTGGCATGTCCCTTTAAGGGATGAATGAGTGAACTGTGTTGTTTTAGCTGATTAACGTCTCGTAGCGCCCCGAGCCGCCGCGCAGTCAAACAATCAGGTGTGATTACACAGCGGGGCCTCCTGCAGTCCACAGAGCTGTGTCATTACCCCATCCGTCTTCTTCACGTCCTCCTGTGGGATGTTTGTTCTGCGGATCAGTGTGAGAAAAGACACGCTGGACATGTGTAATCCTGCAGCTCATTCCTGGCAGCGGCCTGTCGGAGGATTTCCAGCAGCAGCTGATTGACTGGATCAAAGTCGCACTCAACAACCCGCAGAAGGAAAAACTACTAAATCAAGTCTGAGTGTTGTTTCAGGCCGACAGCTGCAGGAGCTCCTCCGAGTGAGGACGACGTGCACCATGGTCCCGCTACTGCACATAACACACCAGAGTTCACACAAGATGACAAGAGCGAGTACCTGAGTCACAGAAATACTACAAGTACTGCACTGTACTACAAAAAACTACAACCATCAAAGTGCCAAAAGTGTACAATACTTTGAAACAAAGCATCAAAAAGACAAAAGACGAAAGAAGTCACTGCTGTAATAGGACAAACAACCATGGTGTACAATAAAGTACCAAAAGAACCACAGCAAGTATCCAAGAGTACAACATGAGTACTACAAGAAACTGCCACAGACCCCCATCTGTTCCACAAAGGTTCTAAAAAACTACCACAAGTAACCACAATGGGTACAACAAAGCACCACAGAGTACCCAGAAAGTACCACCAGTATTACATGAAGTTACTGCTACACTGCAGAAGTATCACAAACAACCATAGCGTACCATAAAGTACCAACACAACCACAGCAAGTATCCAAGAGTACAACGTGAGTACTGCAAGAAACTGTTACAACAAAAAATATGAAGTACTACAAAGAACTATCAAGTGAACATCAAAGTACTACAACAAAATGCCAAAGGCCCCTGGAAGTACCACAAATAATAATACTTTTACACAAAGTATCAATAAAGTACCACAACGTACCAAAAGAACCACAGAAAATAACCAAGTGTACCTCAAAGTACTACGAGAAACTGCCACACACCCCCATTTGTACCACAAAGAGTCCAAAAGTGACCACAATGGGTACATGAAAGTACCACAAAGCATTACAAGTAACACACAGTACCCAGAAAGTACCACCATGTACTATAGAGAACTTCAAAGTGTATAAGTATACAGAAAAGTATCAAAAAGACGACCAAAAGGACACAAGAGTAGTACAAGAAGTTACTGCTGCTGCAACAAAAGTACCACAAACAACAGAAGTGTACAATAAAGTACCAAAAGAACCACAGCAAGTATCCAAGAGTACAACATGAGTACTACTAGAAACTGCCACAGATCCCCATTTGTTCCACCAGAAGTCCAAAAAAATACCAAAAGTACCACCATGTACTAGTACCATGTAAAGTATCACAAGGATGAAAGATGACACAAGTTACTGCTATAACAGTAGGACAAACAGAAGTGTACAATAAAGTACCACAGCAAGTATCCAAGAGTACAGCATGAGTACTACTAGAAAACAGTACCACAAGTACCACAATGTGAAGTACTACAGAGAACTAACAAGTGTACATCATCGTAGTACAAGACACTGCCACAGACCCCCAGAAGTACCACAGAGTATTAAAGGTATTATACACTTTAAAGTTCTCTGTAGTACATGGTGGTACTTTCTGGGTTCTTTGTGTTACTTGTAATGCTTTGTGGTACTTCTGAGGGTCTATTGCAGTTTCTTGTCGTACTTTGCAACTAGGTTCTTGTGACAAAGTATCAAAAAGTCGACCAAGACTTAACAGAAGTACAACCAGAAGTTACTGCTATGCAACAAAAGTACCACAAACAACCATAGTGTACAAGGAAGTACCACAACGTACCAACACAACCACAGCAAGTATCCAAGAGTACAACATGGGTACTACAAGAAACTGCCACAGATCCCCATTTGTTCCACCAGAAGTCCAAAAAACTACCAAAAGTACCACAAAGTATTACAACAAAACGTACCCAGAAAGTACCACCATGTACTAGTACCACGTAAAGTATCACAAGGACGAAAGATGAAAGAAGTTACTGCTATAACAGTAGGACAAACAACAGAAGTGTACAACAGCAAGTATCCAAGAGTACATCCTGAGTACTACTAGACACTGTACAGACCCCCAGAAGTACCACAAGTAACCACAACGAGTACAACAAAGTACCACAAAGAGATATTCACCAGAGTAACAATGTGCACAACAAGGACATCAGAGTACACAGAGTCAAGTAGAAGTATCATGAATTTATACATGAAACGAACACAAGACCCCGTCAGCTGTCTTATGGTATCAAAAAAACTACCACGAACATATTTATACACGTACTGACACGAAGAATCAGTGAGACGAGTTCTGAAGTGAACTCTGAAACAGAACAAAAACTGAATGGAGTTGGTTGAGTTTCTGCGTCGGTCTCAGCTACACTAACAAACTCTGTTTGATGTGTCAACTAATGAGCTGCTGCTGGTTTTACTGGTCTGGTTTACTGGTCTGGAGGGAAACATGGAGAAGAAACTCCAATGAAACTGTTGCGAAACACTCTTTAATTACTTGATGTATTTCTCTGATAACTTCACTTAATAAAGGGGATTTGGCGCCACCTGCAGGTCAAATTTAACCCTTTACAGGCGGAATAAAAACAGAAGAATCTGAGTTCTCGGTCGTCGTTGTGGAAAAAAACAGGAACACCAAACTAAATCATAAAAAGCTTTATGTGGATCTTTACAGCTGGGTGCGGATCATCTGAGCTGCAGTTTGGTGAGGAGGCGAGCAGCTGGACGAGTCTCTGCAGAAACATGACTTGTGTGGACGAGAGGAAAAGATTGTCCCTAAACGTGTCAGAGTGCCAGTGGAGTTTGGTTGGCTCAGTCGCTGAGTGCTTCTCACTGTTCATTACATGTTTCGCTCACGCTGCAGTTTTGTCTCTCGTAAACTTCCATATAAAGAAACCCCCTCTGTGTGTGTGTGTGTGTGTGTGTGTGTGTGTGTGTGTGTTGTTTTTGGCAGTCTCCCGCCTGGTGAGGTAATCCTCTCCTCTGCGAGTCTTCAGACCACCGCGCCGCTCTGAAGGAGGATTTCATCGTCTTACATAACGTTAACAAACTCAATGAGGCAGAAAATCACAGGTTAGATCAGGAATTAGCTCCGCCCCCTCTCCACGGGAGAATCACACCTGTCTGCATGAGTCCTCACATCACACCAGCGTCACACCAACATCACAACCTGCACTGAAAATGCACCAAAATGCATGAAAAGAAAACCTGCACAACAGTGACATGTGATCACTGTCCTGCAGCTTGAGCACCTGAACGCCTCGTTACACACAGGTACAGAGGAGGGAACATGCTAAGAACCCTCATTACTACCGCAGGGATGCAGAATGTCTACTAAGAGATGCAAAATGACCACTGAGAGACGTAAAACAACCATGAGGAGACACAAAATTATCTCAGAGAGGTGCAAAATTTCTACAAAAAGATGCAAAACGACCTCAAAGGGATGCAAAATTATCTCAGAGATGCAAAATGACCACGAAAAGATGCAAAGTTGTGTCAAAGAGAAGCAAAATTTCTACAAAAAATGATGCAAAATGATCACAGAGGGATGCAAGAAGAACACGAAAAGATGCAAATCGACCTCAACGATGAAAATGAACCACAAAGGGATGCAAAATTTCTACAAAACAGATGCAAAACAACCACAGAGAGGTGCAAAATGACCACACAGGGATGCAAAATGAACACAAGGAGGTGCAAAATTTCTACAGAGAGATGCAAAACAACCTCAAAGGGATGCAAAATGAGGACAGAGATGCAGAATGACCAGGAAAAGATGCAAAACCAACACAAAGAGATGCAAAATGACCACAGAGATGTGAAACAACCACTAACAGATGCAAAATTTCTAGAGATGCAAAACAACCATGAAAGGATGCAAAATGATCTCAAACAGATGCAAAATTTCTGCAAAAAATGCAAAAAGGGATGAAGCAAAATGACCACTAAGGGATGCAAAAAGAGCACAAAAAGATGCAAATCGACCTCAACAATGAAAATGAACCACAAAGAGGTGCGAAATGACCACAAAGGGATGCAAAATGAACACAAGGAGGTGCAAAACTTCTACAGAGAGATGCTAAACAACATCAAAGGGATGCAAAATGAGGACAGAGATGCAGAATGACCGGGAAAAGATGCAAAACCAACACAAAGAGATGCAAAATGACCAGAGATGCAAAGCAACCACAAAGGGATGCAAAATGATCTCGGGGAGACGCAAATTTTCTACAAAAAATGCAAAAAGAGATGAAGCAAAATGACCACTAAGGGACGCAAAACCACCACAAAGACACAAAGCGTCCACACAGAGACACACCTGTTTGCGGAGTTATTGCCTCACAGCAAACTGCTCTGGAACGTGCAAACATGAACGCACCAACACGCTGCAGGACAACGTGCAGCTTCATCACTCAGCACCTGAACGCCTCGTGACACAGGTACGGAGGATCCAGCACGCCGCACCTGAGAACCTGCGTCCTGTCCTCTTGTCCCTCTGTTGTCATGGACACCTTGATCCTGTCTCTGTCTCCACACTCTGCACCCTGCTGTGATCTGACCTGTTGGCTCGTGTCTTTCCCCCTGTCTTTCCCCCTGTCTGTCCCCCTGTCTGTCCCCCTGTCTGTCCCCCTGTCTGTCCCCCTGTCTGTCCCCCTGTCTGTCCCCCTGTCTGTCCCCTTGTCTGTCCCCCTGTCTGTCCCCTTGTCTGTCCCCCTGTCTGTCCCCCTGTCTGTCCCCCTGTCTGTCCCCTTGTCTGTCCCCCTGTCTGTCCCCTTGTCTGTCCCCCTGTCTGTACCCCTGTCTGTCCCCCTGTCTGTCCCCTTGTCTGTCCCCCTGTCTGTCCCCTTGTCTGTCCCCCTGTCTGTACCCCTGTCTCATCTGCTCAGTCTGAATCTGTCCACTCACCTCTGATCGTCTGTGCAGGGATGCCCTGGAGGACAAAGGTCCCTCCGAGCAGCAGCAGCAGGAGAGCGATGCCTGCCATGACCTCTCAAAGCTCCAGGAGGAAGATGATGAAGAGGAGGACGATGATGAAGAGGAGGACGATGATGAAGAGGAGTGACCAGGAGCTGAACAACTTCACTGAGCGTGCTCAGTCTTAGGACTTATCAGCTGTGGAACGTTCTTGGTGTGGAGAGGAGGACCACAGAAACACCTCCATCTATAGGCTCTGCAGGGGGGCGTGGCCTGGACGACATCATCACCTTCCTCTCGTACTGTACGCTCCCTCCTCCTCCTCCTCCTCCTCCTCCTCCTCCTCCTCCGCTCTCTTTTCTTCTCTCTGAAACCTCAAACATGAGGTTTTTCTTTTCTCTCTGCTTTCTTCATCATGTACCCTCTCCTCTCCTCTCCTCTCCTCTCCTCCTCCTCCTCTCCTCTCCTCCTCCTCTCCCTCTCCTCTCCTCCTCCTCTCCCTCTCCTCTCCTCCTCTCAGTGTGTTGTTTCCAGTCCCTGTTGGCTCTGTGATGGTGTATAACTCCTGCCAGTGGAGCTGTGGAGGGAAACACAACCAGGACAAACTGAAAACAGCAGGAACATGAGGACAGACACACATCAGCTCAGTGACGCTCTGTGCTGTCCTCACTGTCCTCACTGTCCTCACTGTCCTCACTGTCCTCACTGTCCTTTAGAGTCTCACAGTCACCGTTAATGACATCACTGCTGCTCCCTTCAGGCTGCAAAACGTACAACAACAATACACTGACCACAGAGAGTGTTTTGTGTCTCTTTGTAGTTCTTTGTGTCTCTTTGTGGTTGTTTTGTGTCTCTTTGTAGTTCTTTGTGTCTCTTTGTGGTTGTTTTGTGTCTCTTTGTGGTTGTTTGTGTCTCTTTGTGGTTGTTTTGTGTCTCTTTGTGGTTGTTTTGTGTCTCTTTGTAGTTGTTTTGTGTCTCTTTGTGGTTGTTTTGTGTCTGTTTGTGGTTGTTTGTGTCTGTTTGTGGTTGCTTTGTGTCTCTGTGGTTGTTTCGTGTCTCTCTGCGGTCGTCTCCTGTCTTCCTGTCAGAACTCATATTAATAATAAGAGTTTGTTTGTTTTCAGAACCAGAATCAGCTGAGACTCAAACATTTGTGAGGAGGAGGACGATGAAGGTTTGGACTGACAGGAATGTAAATCAGCTGTGGACATGCGTGTGCGTGTGTGTGTGTGTGTGTGTGTGTGTGTGTGTGTGTGTGTGTGTCTTTGGGTCACTGAGGTTTTGGTCCACGTGCTCACAGAGAAGCTTGTGAAACCAGAGCGTCCTCGGTGGCCTCGCCGCTCCTGGAGCTGAGCATGATGGGAAGAATGAAACACCACAACACCCCACAACACCCCACACACACACACACACACACACACGCATGCACGCACACACACACACACACAGACCCCACCCGCATCACAACACATCCGCCCGCTTCACACGTGCATGCTGGGAAAACAGCCACAGAGCCAAAAACGCTGACGTGTTTTCTCCGTGTTGGAGACCTGAGGAGGGGGGCTGAAGGGAAAACCCGAACACTGGACCTGGACTCTGTGGACGCAGTGGGTCCAACACGTGGCGTCACATGCGACAGGATGGAGCTGCAGCGCTGCCAAACAGCAGCTGATGCAGAGGAAGACTAGAGCTGTGTTACAGCTCAGTCTGCTGACAGAGACTGAGCTGTAACACAGAGACAAGAGAAGAAGAAGAAGAAGAAGAGGAAGAAGAAGGCGGTGTTCAGATCCAGCTGCAGTGTCGGATCCTCCACCTGTCAGTCAGCTTCTGCATCTTTGCCTAAACAATGTGTCAGAGCTGAGACAGTCTGCCCCCTGTGGACATCTGCAGTACTGAAACTACAACCAGAAACCAGCCTGACAGAGTCTGTAAGGCTGCGCTCACACGCAACCTGACAACAGGCTGATGTTTACCATGCTGACCATCTCTGTGTGGTCACAAAACAACCACAAACAGACACAAAACAACCACAAAGAGGCGCAAATCAACCACAAAGAGACACAAAACAACCACAAAGAGACACAAAACAACCACAAAGAAACACAAAACAACCACAAACAGACACAAAACAACCACAAAGAGACACAAAACAACCACATGAAATGAAGGTGTTCCTGCTCTGAGTGTGTGTGTGTGAACGCACTGGTGTGAGCGTGAGGCGCTGAATCAAACCGGTTGTGTCCTTTAAGTTCAGCAGAAACTGAACAAACTGTTTCTTTGAAGTGTTTCAAACAGGCCGTAAAGATTCTGACAGCTGCAAACAACAAGCTCCGACTCGCCACAGTCGACACCTTGCTGCTCACAGGTCGGCAAAGTTCACTCCTCTTCATGTTCTTCATAAAGTCTGAGCGGCTCCACGCCTCGTCCTGTAAAACTGAAACGCTCCCACATTAAACAGCTGAAGGAACGCGGCCCGAGGCGCAGCGCTCCACTGCACTCTGCTAATTAGGTTAACGAGGCGCTGCTGGTATCCCACGGCTAATTAACAGTCAACTACAACTGAAACAAATACACTGAACATTGAGGTTCCACCTTAATGACAAACAGAACGTTCACCTGCAGCTCTGATGCTGCTAACACCGACAGTACTTAAACAAACATAAACATGTTGGTTCTGAACGTTCTGTAAAGTGACGGAGAATCTGACGGTGTCATCAGGAGGTGACGTTCAGCACAAACATCTGAAGATGTTGTTATTTACCGAGACTTCACTGTGGTTCCTGTCGGAACGCTGCCAGGACTTTAAACTCACGTGATGTTTTACCACACCAGAACCCAGTGATGTTTGTTCCTAAACAGAACCACATGTGAACACAGCGTCATTAAAACATAAATAAATGTAAAGTTTAATTTCAGAAACAAACAGTTGTTCTGGTGACAAGGCCGAAACTAAACATCAAACATTCAGTTTGATTTGAACGTTTTTTATTTCAGTCTGATGGGAATCAAAAAGTAGAATTTAAAAAAAAAACAAAGGTAAAGTTTCAATTTAAGATGAGAACTTCAGGAACACAAAAACTTACAATCAGGTCATTTAGAACAACCTTCAAACTTCCTGCAGAACCAGGAGCAACAGCAGTGAGTTGATGGTTCTCAGCAGGATCACAAACACAAACGTTCACACCTGCCTCAGCGAGGACAAAGCAGCCGTTATTAAAGAGCCAGCAGCTGTTTGCTTCCAGGTTCCACTGCCACTCCTGACCTTTACTAACACACGCAGGCCTTCACAATAAAAGCCTGGATGACCCAACACAACCTGGGCCTTCACAATAAAACACTGACTTCACCACTGATGAAGTTTCCACGTTCTGTCATTGAGTCAGGAACTGGTTCTACCGATCAGTCTGATTACACAGAGACACATCAGTGTGGGACAGGCCCACAGGGGACAAACTGGTCCAGAGAAGACGGACTGGTCCACAGAGGACGGACTGGTCCACAGAGGACGGACTGGTCCACAGAGGATGGACTGGTCCAGAGAGGACGGACCGGTCCACAGAGGACGGACCGGTCCAGAGAGGACGGACTGGTCCAGAGAAGACAGACTGGTCCACAGAGGACGGACAGGTCCACAGAGGATGGACTGGTCCACAGAGGATGGACTGGTCCAGAGAGGACGGACTGGTCCACAGAGGACAGACTGGTCCAGAGGGGACGGACTGGTCCACAGAGGATGGACCGGTCCAGAGAGGATGGACTGGTCCACAGAGGATGGACCGGTCCACAGAGGATGGACCGGTCCAGAGAGGATGGACTGGTCCACAGAGGACAGACTGGTCCAGAGAGGATGGACTGGTCCACAGAGGACAGACTGGTCCAGAGGGGACGGACTGTCCTCGACATAACTGAACATTTTAATTTCACGTCACGTTCTCAGACTAAACTAAAGGTGGACATCAGGAGGGACACTGTCCGTCCTCAGCTGAACAGCCCAGGTGTGAACACGGAGCTCTTGAACCAATCAAACATCTCCGTCATGCCAGAGTGCCGGCGTGGACTCGGAGTGCCAGAGCCCAGGAGCCACCTGCATCACATCAGGGCGCTGCAGCCCGAGGAGGAAACCGGCGAGGCTTATATAACCCCGGCTCGTCTCTCACAGAGCCATCTTTGTCCTACATCAAGACATTTTTACACTTTAATCAGAACCTCAGAGTTCTGCCTGAAACGTTCTGAATGTGTTCGTTAGCTCAGGATTCATCAGAGTGTTCAGGCCGCCGGGGAAACTCTTCTTCTTCTTCTTCTCTTGTGGTGCTGCTCAGCTGCGGCGCTGATGTGGAAAGTGTTAGCAGATGTCGCCTGCGCGGGCCAAGCGCCACCATGTCCCCCTTCCCCTCCTCCACATCAGCTTCCCCCACTTGGAAAGGTCTCAGGTTTGGAGAGACGAGTGGAGGAGAGGACGGTTTATTTTCCACGCCAGCTTACATGAAGAGAAGTTCTGTGAGGCCTGAAGACGAGAGAGGAGGAGGAGGAGGAGGAGGGAGTGTGGACCCAGAGACGAAGAGGAAACCCCCCAAAACACCACGGAGAGCTAGGATCAGTTTGGGGGGGGGGGGGCGAAAACATAAAATCACATTTCACATGTTCTGCCTTTAATACGTATTTTATTTCCAAACCTTAACACTGCATCAGATCATCTGAGGCTCAGACTGGACGTTATTTCGTGTTAAACACTTTCAGATACTCAGTAAATATAAACGTGCTGTTGCCTGGTTACGGTTCAGATATTTGAGATGGTACCTGTGTCCCTGACAGTAAATGCTAAAACAGTGCAGCTCAGATAATTTAACCTGTGAACCCTGCTCCAATCACAGACGTCACCTGTTGAGTCAAACTGTTACCCAACCCCTGAGTCCTGCTTCTTCCCAGCACATGAAACACAAGCTGCCTCCCATTAGATGAAACCGATCACCTCAAACTGCAGGAAAAAAAAAGAAAGACCTTCGTCGTTACGCAACCAAAGCTAACGGCCTCTGACAGGAAGGCTGACTGCGTCTGGATCCAAACCGAGGAGGAGAACAATCAGAGAGCCACTTGTTCTCGCTGAGGACTGTGTTTCCCATTAAACCCCCACACAGCCAAGTCCAGATACTTTCCAGTCGCTGTCAGATCTCAAAGAGACACCTGCCGAACCAAAACCAGTCACATCAG